TGTGTCTGTCTGTCTGTCTGTCTCTTGTTCTTTATTTGAGACAGGGTCTTATGTAGCCTAGACAGGCCTCAGACTCTATGTGCAGTCTAGGATGCACATAGAACTCTGTTATCCTGCCTCTAATTTCCAGGTCTAGGATTACAGGCACCACCATCATTCAAGGTTTATGCAGTGCTGGAGATCAAAACCAAGACATCTGTACGTGCTAGGCAAGCCCTCTATCAACTTGACTACATCCCTTGTCCAAGACTTTTTCTTTTTTTAAATATATTTTATTTTTACTGGGGTGTGTGTGTGTGTGTGTGTGTGTGTGTGTGCACGCCAGACAGAGGGAGCTGAAGTTATAAATGGTTGTGAGATCCCCTATGTGGGTGCTGGGATCTGAACTTGGATCAAGAACAGCAAGCACACTTATCTTCAGAGCCAGCCATAGACCTGTGGCACATGTCTATAATCTTAGCACTCTAGATGTTGAAGTGGAAGGATCACAAGTTCGAAGCCTGCCTGGGCTACATAGTGAGACTCTGCCTCAAACAAAGATTAAAACCTGCCGTCCATCTGACGCATGATGTCCTGATTTGGTGTCTCAGATTGACTGGTGGTCAGGAGTGTTGTCTCTGAGGGCAGACTGGGTCTCATTACCAGCGTGACTAGCGTCGGGACATTGGGTAGGATGGTTAGCCTTTCTGAACCTAGTTTATGCATCCATAAAGCTCTGGTGACAGAGTACCTAAGGTAGACTGGCATGATTAAATTAGCTAATACATGTACATCCTCAGAATAGTGCCCGGCATGTAGTTATTGCTTAATGAACGTTGCAAAATTCCTGTACCAACTTCTCTTGGGTGAAATGCTGGGTATGTCAACCTTCTTGTGTGATTTCAGTAAATTGGTGATACCACTTTTCCTCTCTGTATAGGTATGCTGTCGAAGGCTACAGATCTAAGTTTTGCTTTTATTTTTATTTTTCTAAGGTGAGGTTTCATATATCCTAAGCTGAGAGAGAGAGAGAGAGACTATGTAGCCCTGGCTGGCCTGAATTAACTTTGTAGACAGATCAGGCTGACCAGGCTGACTAGGCTGACCAGGTCTTCACTGAGATCTGCCTGCCACTGCCTTCCAAGTGTTTGGATTGAAGGTATGTGTCATCATACCTGGCAAATTTCTTTTAAATCTTCCTGTCTCCACCTACCAAATGGTGAGACCACAGGCATGTGTCTCCATGCCCAATTTTTGCCATGCTGGGGATTGAACCCAGGGTTCACGCATGTTAGATGAGCACCCTACTAACTGAGCTGCACTTCAGCCCGTCTCCACCCCCACTCTCCTCAACCAGATCTTACTGTGTAACCTAGGCTGACCTGGAACTGATAGTCCTGTGTCAGCTTCTTGAGCGCTAGAATTACAGGCATGTGCTACTACATCGGCTCTTACATAAAGCCTCTTAGATTCTGTGCAGACTGGTTAACATCTGAGTGACTCCTCATTGGCTGGATAAAAATACCCCTGCTGGAGTCTTAGCTGACCCAGCCCGCGGTCATCCAGACTGTATGTGAATGCAGTTCCAGGAGAGGCAGGGCCTGTTAGGAAGAAGACGCCAGAGCAGAGGCGCAGTCGGGCAAGGGCAGAAGCTGTTTCTCCAGGTGGCCTTGCATTTAGACTCTGGAGTTCAGTGCTTCTTCCTTTATCCGGAACGGGGGCTCTGATGGCTGTGCTATTAAAGAGCGGGGGAGGGGAGCAGCAGTCAGGGCAATGCATCTCTAAACCTCCAAGTCACCACATATTTTGGCTGTAGAATCAGCCAAAGTTTTGTTCCAGTTCCTCACAAAATTTCACAATATTCAGGCGTTAGAATTGGTCCCTGTGTTGTGAAATGGCTGGTTTTATACTCTAAACGCCGCGATGAAGACACAGTTGTTGATTGTTACTTTGGAGGCTTTCCAAGAGCTGGAACACCATCTGTAGAAGTTTCTCCACACTTGCCAGATACTGTCGCCGTTTCCCTGTTCAGAGACGATAGTCTGTGTCTCAGGGTGCTCCCTGGGCACAGAAATTGGTTGCCTCGACAACAGATAGCTGATGTCTTAGCTCTCTTCTTTCTTTACCCCCAACCTCTTGGGGATGTGACTTCAGAAAGCTCTCCACTCCCATTTTCTCCTGGAAACCTGTTTGTAACAGTAGTAACCATTTTGTGTTCTAGTTCCTCTCTACCCCGCCCCCTTCTCCCAGGACTGAGGATTGAACTTGAGCCATCTCCTCATCCCTTTTTAATCATTTTATTCTGAGACAGTGTCTCAGTGAGGTGCCCAGTGTGGCCTTTGACTTGCTCTGTAACCCAGGCAGACCTTGAGCTTTCTTTCAGCTTTCCTGTCTCAGTCTCCTGAGTAGGGGCAGTTACAGGCTTGCACTACCAAGTTTAGCTCACACTTTCCTTTTGGCAGAGGGGTGTGTGTGTGTGTGTGTGTGTGTGGTTGGGGGGTGGGGGATGAAGGGGTGGGAGGATGGGATGCTGGAGATTGAACCCAGGACTTCATGAGTGTTCACAAGTACACCACCACTAAGCTAGACTGCTAGCTATTCCTGTTTGTTTATTTATTTGCGCTCTCTCTCTCTCTTTTTCTCTCTCTCTCTCTCTCTCTCTCTCTCTCTCTCTCTCTCTCTCTCTCTCTCTCTCTCTCTCTCTCTCTCTGTGTTTGTACATTGCAAGCCACAGAGCATGTGTGAAATCAGGACAACTTGCAAGGGGAATTGGTCTTCTCCTTCCCCCATGTGGATTCTGAGGATGTCACCTTGGCAGCTGAGCCACCTTGCCAGCCCCTATTCTAATTTATTGCTTTGTGACCTTATGTATATACCTTTTATTATTGCGTGTGACGCGTGTGGATGTGTGCTTGCCTGCCATGCCCCACCTCCATCTAGACCGTGTTTGGAGTTTAGTTTTCTTCTTCTTTTCTTGGGTTTCAGGATTGAGCTCAGTCTTGGGCGGCAAACACTCTTGTGCACTGAGTCATCTCACCAGCCCTATTCTAGTTTTCTTGAGTGCAGAGGAAAACACTTCCTCCACAGATGTTACTGATGTTAGCCAGGAGCGATTTGTTTGATTGAGACAGAGTCTTACTATGTAGCCCTGGTTGGCCTGTAATTCTCAGCATAGACCAGGCTGGCCTTGATGTTGTGTTGATTCTCCCGTCTCTGTATCCTGGAGTGCTGGGGACCCCGGGATGTGCCCCTGCACCTGCTGGTTTCGGTCTTGCTGTGGTGCTGCAGACTGAACCCACTTCCTAAGCTGCAGCCCAGCCTCTGGGCAGGAGTCTCCTCGTGGTTAGAGGCCAGACCACTGAGTACTGAGCTCTACTCTGTGTTCTGTCACTTGGTTTTTCTGCTGGAGTGGAGAGTGCCGTCTTATTCCCCTTTTACCGCTGCTTAGACAGGAGCATCCCCAAGGTTACAGTGACAAGTGGCAGCATCAGGATTCTGACCCAGAATTTTTACCTTTTTTTTTTGTTGTTGTTGTTGTTGCTGCTATCTTTTTCAGGCCTTTGCTCTTATTTAACAAATAAAATGAGACACATAGAATCAATTTGTTTTCAGTGGAAATGTGTTTTATCTGTTTCCAATCTGTATAAATGCCCTTTTAGGCCTCTTGGAACCTTCAAATGGCCACTTAGTGTCACCTTTGCCTGGTCATTCTCTTAGGTTATACCCTGTTTATTCATTCCCTCAGCCACCTGAGAAATATTTTTGTTAATATAATCCTACTTTCAGACCTAAGCAAACTTTTCTTCCTTCAACTACCAAAGAGATGTTTCCTTTTTTGCAGTCCTAAGTCCCCCATGCCCTGAGAATTTCACACTGGAACTTGGTCAGGAGAGGCTGGAATTGGGAATCTGTAGTCCGGATGGAAGTGGTCCACTAACAGGAAGCCGGCATCCAGAGCAGGAGGACTAGCAGGATCCCAAAGGCCAGAAGGGAGGATGAGTGGCTAGCAGGTCCTCCTTCCTCTGACGTGCCTATGCCAGCACTTAATCTCGTCAGTATCTCATTGCCATCTTGGCATTCATGAAATTGCCCAACAGGCCCACTGGACCAGTCTGTGCCTGTTTAGCCTCTGAGTAGTTTTTGAGGTTTGTTTAGAGTTAATTAATTAGGGTAGTCATTTAAAAGTTTTGATATGGGCAGCCATTACATGTTAATTAAAATGAAAAAATTAAAAGCTTAGAAACAGCTTCAAGCAGGGAGACTGTTGAGGCGAAGCCTCGAGGACCGCACAGCACAGCCATGGCTGGGCGCCTGCCAGCAGTGGGGACTCCAGTTTGTCGTAGCCTCTTTCCATTTCGATTCCTTGCCCTGGGATAACAAAATTTATGCACCAGAGGGGACTCTGTAGTCCTTTAATGCATAGATGGGAAACTGAAAGCAAGAAAAAGGAAGCAGCTAGCCTGCAGCGCCCCAGCTGTGGGGTGCGGGCGAGAGCTGTGCTCTCCTGGCAGAAGCTCTCCAAGCGCTGTGCCAGCTTTGCCGTTGCTTCTCAGTGAAGTAGAAAGGGAAATTTACTTCTTTCTTCTTTCCGTCTCTCCTCCATCCTTTCCTCTCTTTTATCTCTTTCGTTTTTGTTTTGCTGTTGAGACAGGAGCTTGCTATGTAGCTTTTGGCTGGCACTATATACTTTTGACTGGCATGGAACACATGGTGATCCTCCTGCCTCTGTGTCTTTCATGCCAGATGACAGGTGAGCTTCAGCGTCATAATACCTGACTCCTTTCTTTTCTTTAAGTCAAATTTCCGCTAGGAATACTTTGTGTCCATGCTACTATTACTACCGGTACTGGCTAACAAAACCAGGCTCCGTCTGTTCCAGGTGTTACATGCTGTGGCTAAGTGCTTTGTCTGTTAGTTATTCCTCACAGTAACCCTGGAGTAGGTGCTGTTACTGTCCCCAGCTTACACGCAGGGTCAAAGATGGGGGTTACCACGGCTCGAGGGCCTCCCTAAAGGCAGGTTTAAGCTTATGCTTGTTTGTAGCCAGAGCGTCCCTCCCAGTAGCTGTTGTTCTTTTGTTGGTTTTCTGAAACAGAACTATTTTCTCTGAATGCAGAAGTTGAAACCTGTTAAGGAAATTCAACCAAAGTATTTCTTGAAGAAAAAAAGAAACCATTTCCTGATTTCTTCATTTGTTAACTCCATGACATCATTAGGACTGGTATACTCTGCTCTCCTGATTTCATATCGAGAAGAAAGTGGTGATAATCCTTAGGGAACTTCTGAAGCTCTTGGCAGCAACACTTGGATCCTTTGACTTTTTTCCTTCACCCTTTGATTTTTTTCTGCCTTTCGTTTGGTTCTTGAAGCTTGTAGAATGTGCGTCCCTCATCATGGAGTAAAGGCAGGCAGAGAGGGCGGTCCCGAATTAGTCCCTGCAGTGACTGAGCTCCTCCGGTGGTGCTGGGCAAGTTTCTATAAATTGTGCCCAAAGTCTGATGATCTCCGAACCCAACTATCTCTGACCATTTGGGTTTGTTTGAATTTTCCCATGGGTAGAAAAATCAGGAAGTAGGAAGCTAAACCAGCAAAGAAACTTTTGGAAGTGTATTTGTTGTTAGTGGCGTGCTACGCTGCAGGCAGGAGTGGCAGAGTTAGGGCTAGATCAAGAGCCTGGGCTGAGACGCTCTCTTCCCACTCTCTTCCCGTCCCGAGCATTGTGTTCCAGAAGTGGAGTGTTCCAAGCCTCAGTTTCCCTGTCTGTTTGATGGGGTAGCACTGGTCCCTCTTCACAGAGCTGCAGTGAAATAAGAGTGTGAGCATCAGTATTGTTCTGGCACATTCTGAATGCCAGATCAGGTTCATTATGAGGCCAAGAGTTCGGCCTTGTCAGTCATTCAGTTAGGAAATAATCTGAGTTACTCTTCGGTGTTGATGAGAATTCTGAAATTTGTTTCAAGTATTATTACAGACTTTGTAATTTGGTTCATGTCTTTTAAAAGTAGTTTAAGACCATGTTTCACATGAGTATGAAAAATATTAAAACTTTAGCCTGGTGGTGGTGGTGGTGCACACCTTTGATCCCAGCACTCGGGAAGTAGAGGCAGGCTAGGCAAGTGCTACACCCTTGATCGCACATTCGAGACTAGATCACTTTTCAGCACATACTCAAGGAAACTTGTAGTAGTTTCTTCACTAATACATATTTAATGCAGCTGTCCTCGTGACACCAAATAGTGACTACTATAGCTAACCCAGAAGGCTATAATTTAAATCATTATTTTTTAAAAAAGCTATTATTAGGACAGACGTAGTGGTGTATAGCTGTTATTCCAGTTCTCAGGAGGCTGAGGCAGGAAAATTGTGGCAAATTTGAGGCCAATCAGGACTACATAGTAAGTTCTAGGCTAGCCAGGGCTATATAGCGAGACTCTGCTTCAAACAAACAAACTGGGGGATTGGGGGAGAGGCGGAAAACAAGCCAGGCGTGGTGCACACCCTTTTTAAACCCAAACCTTAGAGGCAGAGACAGCAGGATCAGAAGTTCAAACCTATCCTTGGCTACACGGCACGTTTGAGGCCAGTCTGGACTGCATGAGACCCTGTCTGATGAAACAGACCAACAAAAAGAAGTGATTTGGAAAAAAAAAAAATCTTACCACATCCTCCTAAGAACTCAGCAATGCAGTCATTGCTGAGTGCAAAGTGGCAGTCCCCAACAGTGACAGCAAGGTGGCACGTTTGGCATGCGTGTACACTACTTGAAAATAAAAACATGCTTTTCATTCTGGCTTACAAAAGGCTTGGGCTTCAGCAGGGTGCAGTGGTGCGGGAGAATTATCTATATTCTGTCAATCATATTTTAATAAAACGCTGATTGGCCAGGCAGGCAGTATAGGCAGGAAAGTCAGACAGGAAGTAGAGGTAGAACAAAGAGACTGGGAGTATCCTAGGAAGCTTCCTCTGCCAGTTCTGCCCAGACCACCGGAGAGGAAAGATGTAAGCTGCCCCGCTGGAAAAGGTACTGAGCCATGTGCTAGCGTAGATAAGGATAATGGGGTAACATAAGTTATAAGAGCTAATAAGTAGCCAGAGCTAAGGGCCAATCAGCTTTATAACTTATAGAGAGATCTCTGTGTGATTGATTTTCTCTGGGACTTGCCGGTTGTGGGGTACCGGGTGGGGACAGATAGATACCCCAACAAGCCGGCTCTCATGTTACAGTGCAGCACAACTTTCCTTACCCAGAAGGACTGTCAGCAAGGTCCTATCAAAATGTGCAGCTTGGGAACACAGCTACAAACAGACACAGGGAACAAAGCCATTGAGTACAAACTATGGTTGTATCTGGATGTAAGGAATATAGCCCATCTTCCCTAGTCTGTGTGCCTAAATTATATAACGTGGTTATGTTTCTTGGTAGTAGGAATCTTATTCAGTACATTGTAATCCAGGGCTGCAAAGGCCGAGGCAAGAAGATTGTCACAAATTTGAGGCTAGCCTAGGCAACAAAGTAAGACCTTTTCTCAAACAAAACAAAATATTGGAACAAGCAGCCTTCACATATTTATTGCATACAGATTATAGTCTAGACACTCTGCTCGATGCTAGAGATACAGTCATGACCCAGACATGCCGGGTCACTGCTAGGCGGAACTTCAGGCCAGAGGGACAGATGGATGATTTTACAACTTTTAACACCACGTGATAAACCTACAATTGAGTGCAGAGCTGGAGCACCTCAGAGTGGTGCCTAATCCACCTGCAGCCAGGGACGCCTTCCTGGAGGAGGAGGTGGTGGTGACGTCACCCACGGCAGTGCCACGGAAAGCGTTCTCACAGGAGACGCACATGTGGTCGGGAAACCCAGGAGGCAGGAGAAAGGAACCGAAAGTTGGGTGATTCTGAGATTGCCAGCACTGTGCAGAGGGAGCCGTGGGAGCCCAGAACCGATCATGCACCACACTCCTGTGTTAAGGAATTTCCAGTTTGGCTTGAGGACAGAGCAAGGCTGTTGAAGGATGTTTATTGCTGTTTGCGTACTTATTTGTTTGCTCTTCCAAAATTTTAAAATAAAATACATCCATACCTATATTTAATAAGTAAGCTCACAGTTGGTGCACACCTTTGATCCTAGCACACAGGAGGCAGAGGCAGGTAGAGCTCTGTGAGTTCAAGAGCAACCTGTTTATATAGCAAGTTCTAGTCCATCCGGGGCTGCATAGTGAGACCCTGTCTCAAAGCAATCAAACAAAAACAAATAAAAAACCAACAAAACAAACAACAACAACAACAAAACCCTTCAGGTAACATTGAAGCCTTGTAAATGAAAATCCAAGACCCCCTTCTCTCTTTGACATCGTGTCCAAATTCTAGTCCCCAGCAGGATCAAATCTTTCTAGAGGCTTTCTGTGCATATGCAAGCTTCTCAGCCTGTGTTTGCACCCTCTCCTTTTACTCAGATGGCATTGTGTCACCTAGTACACACACACACACACACACACACACTTTTGTTAGTTGTAAACCCAAGGCTTTGTGCACTCTACCACTGAGTTCTCTCTCCAGCCCCTGTATATTTCTTTTGTCTTTTCCGTGTGTGGGTGAGCCCAGATCCTGCAGCATTTTAGGTAATGGCTGACCACCCTAGCCCTCATATTCTTGTTAATACAGCCCTTTTACTTGACATTGGCGTACACACTTGTATTCCCAAGTACTCAGAAGGCTGAGGCAGGAGGATCACTTGAGTCCTGAAGTTCCAGTCTAGCCTAGGCAACCTAGTGAGACTCCCTGTCACACACACACAAAGCAGCATAGTTCACTTTTGTGTGCTCTTTCATTTGCTAGGCCAGTTTCATACTGAGAGAAGCTTACATGTAATTGTTCATTAATATAAGGGGAAATGGGGTGCATTCTATAATCCCAGCATTTGGAAGATGGGGGTAGGTATGTAGGAGGAGGGCCCGCTTGTTTGTCCCAGCCATCTGGCTAGTTTAGTCCCGAAATAATCACACAGAAACTGCATTGATTAAATCACTGCTTGGCCCATTAGCCAACTTCTTATTGGCTAACTCTTACATCTTAGTTTAACCAAGATCCAAAATGCAAGGCTTTCTCAGCTACACAGCAAATTTGAAGCCAACCCGAGCTACAGGAGACTTTGTCTCAAAAATCAAAATAAGAAACCCCAGAGCAAAACTGCAGTGAGCATCCTGACAGCATTCATTTTTGGATTATTTCCCTGCGGTGTCTGTGCACAGTTCCTAGAAGCAAAACAGTGAAGTACAAGTCAGACCTGTCTTCCCAGTGTGAGAGGCTGAGGTGGAGGAGGGTGAGTCTGAGGCTAATTGACCTGGTGTAGAGACACAAAAAAAGGTTTGTGTGTGTGTGTCTTTATTATTTTTATATGTACAGTTTAGTGGTGTTATGCATCCTCATTTGTTATGCAAATCTGATCTCCAGAATCTCTTCACTGAGGAAATTAGAAAGTCTGTGCCCATTAAATAACAGCTCCTCCCCCAGTAACCACCATCCTGCTTTCTGCATCTTTGACTTTGACTGGGCTTGGTGCCTCATGAGTGAGATCATACACCCTTGTCTTTGTGTAGCCAGTCTCTCTCCTTTGGCATGATGCCCTCAAGGCTCATCCTTGCTGTATTGACAGGATTTCCTTCCTTTTAAAGGCTTAGTAATATTACCTTGTGTGTATATACCATCCATTTACCTGTTCATATTATGATGGACGCATGAGTTGATTTCACCCTTGGCTGTTGTGCTTAAAGCAGCCATGAAAACAGCTAATAAATATGCTTTTGGAGGCATACTCAGAAGCGGTTTTGCTGGACCATAAGGTATTTTTAGATGGGTTCATTTGCACAGGCTGAAGAGGTGCCCTGGGGAGCTGGGAGTGTAGGTGTGCGAACCGCAGCCCTCTTCCTTGGTGTTTTATTCTGCTTCCCTTGTCACAGCAGGGACTGATCCGGAGCTGGGTATTTGGGCTCTGCCACTGAGCAACTCCAGCCCCAGCTCCTAGCTTTACTGTTGGTTTTGGGGCGATTGCTATCATCTTCCCAAGGCACTCACACCATTTTATAGTCCTCAAGCAGGGAGCCCTGGCTTCGTTGCCGCTGCCGTAGTAAGACACCCTGAGTAAAGCAGCTTCGGGGAGGAAGGACTTGTTTCCGCTCAGCCTTCTGTGATTTGTGAGCTTAGACGGTCTTTGTTTTTAGGGTAGTTACCCCAACAGGTGTGAAGGGGCACCTCATTATGACTTCGTGCCTCTCAGATCATTAGGCATGAAGCATCTCCTCATACAGTTCTTGGCCATTGGTATCTTCTTTGGGAAATGCTTGTTTAAGTCATATCTGTCATCATCTTTGCCAAGAATGTAGCAGCAAAAATCAAAGGCCATCTCTCCTTGTTTAATCAACACAGCTCTTGCTATGAGTGAAATTAATTCATTCAACAAATAAAAATGAAGGAGCCCCTGCTTGCTTGCTTGCTTCCTTCCTTCCTACCTTCCTTCTTTTTTTTTTTTTTTTTCTTCTTTCTTTTTGGTTTTTTGAGACAGGGCTTCTCTGTAGCTTTGGAGCCTGTCCTGGAACTAGCTCTTGTAGACCAGGCTGGTCTCGAACTCACAGAGGTCCTCCTGCCTCTGCCTCCCGCATGCTGGGATTGAAGGTGTGTGCCCTTTAAAAAGACAACCGCTCGGCTGTCCCTAGCTTTCTAAAATCCTGGAAATGTAGCATGTAATTCAGGCTGAACACTTGCCTTTCTGTGGTCACGAGTGGTTCTGAGTACTTTATCTTTTATTAGCGTATACGAACGCTCTGTGTGAAGCAGATCGGCTTTTGGTATGCTAGTTGTCTGTCATTACCTTCAAGTTGCCCTAAGTGTTAAAGCAGCACACACTTTATCATCTGGCAGTTTCTGTAGTGAATCCCAGGCATGGCTTACCTGAGTTGTCAGTTTCAGGGGCTCGCCAGGTTCATCCAGTTAGGGGCAGGGGCTTGTTCTCATCAGACTCACCTGGGGATTATCTTCTCCTCTCTCAGGGTAGCCAGTTCACCTCATGGTTAAAGCACTACTGCATCCATGTGGGGCAACCGCTCCTCTGAGCTCCTCGAGGCCACTCCAGTGTCTGTTTGCTGTACAGCAGCTTACTCTGCCAAGCCGGGGAGAGAAAGGCTGGCTAGTGCTTCTGCCGGTGAAACAGGAGTGTTCTGGGGATGATGTCCCGTCACCCTGGCTGTATACTGTTAGTAGAGGCCTGTGGCAGGCCCTGCCCGCAGTTAAGGACTGAGGATTATGCCCAGGCATGAAGACTGGGAGGTGGGGACTGTTGGGGTCCCCCTTTGCCTTGTTTACCACAGTCTTCTATGTATATTCCAAACAATCTCTCCTTCAGAATGTGTCTGGGAGTTTTCTGCTCTGTATATTCAAGACATTGGTATTTTGTAATGCTGGGTTTTAATCTCTAGTGCACTTAGAATAGACTTCACTCTCAGACGCCTCCTTCCCTCTTTTGAACATCCATATCCTATCCTAATACTATTACTGTTTTGGTATTTGCTTCCCACCACCCCTGCGCTTTGAGACAGGGTCTTCAGAGTTCGAGTCTCTCTCCCTCGGCCTCCTGAGTGCTGGGATTACAGACATGTACTGCCATACCCACTGAGTATTTTTATTTTATTTGTGTGTACATGTATATATAATGTGTATCTGCGAGCGTGGGCATGCATGCCTGTGAAGATCAAAGCACAGCTTTCAGTAGTTGGTCGTGGAGGTCAAACCCAGATTCTCAGCACAGCAAGCATTTGTACTGGCTAAGCGATCACGTCAGTCCGTGTTGGTTCGTTTGTTTTTCTAAAAGATTGATTTTATGTTTAATTATATGTACTTGTGTGTGCCTGTGTGTGAGTATGTGCACATGAGCTTAGATGCCATTGGATTTTGGGTGTCCTAGAGCTGGAGTTATGGGTGAGTGTGAGCCACCATAGGGTGCTGGGAACGGGCTCAGGTTCTCTGCACGAGCAGTGTGCTCTCTTCACTGCTGAGCCATCTCTCCAGCCCACTGCCATTTATTTCTTACATGATTTTCCCCCCAAGTTTTCTTCCTATTTTGGTCTGCTGCTGTGGCTGTCCATTTCTTAGTCTGTCTTTGTAGCTGTGTATTACTGTAGGTATAGAATGTAGCCTTTGAGTTTAATTTTACTTACATGTTTTTCAGGTATATGAATACATATTCACATAGTCCAGAACCAAGGGCAAATGAAAGGGTGTGCAGCCCGGGTATCCTTTCGTCTCCGCTGTAGCTCCTAGTTCCCTTCCCAGCAGCAGTGTTTGCACATCTTGTTCCTTCAGAGGCCGTTTACATACACATCACCAGTGCTCCTCTGACTCTCTTACCTGCATTTCTGGACCTGGCTTTTCTTCCATTTAGTGTATCTCGAGGATTTCTCTATACCTTTGTTTGTTTGTTTGTTTGTTTGTTTGTTTGTTTGTTTTTCGAGACAAGGGTTCTCTGTGTAGCCCTGACTGTCCTGGAACTAGCTCTTGTAGACCAGGCTGACCTGTAGGGATCTGCCTGCCTCTGCCTCCTGAGTGCTGGGATTAGAGGCATGCGCCACCACCATCCAGTCCTCTCTATACCATTCTTAAAAGTGTATTTGCTGTGTGTGTGTGTGTGTGTGTGTGTGTGCAGGCATGTGTGTGTGCAGGCATGTGTGTGTGCATGTGTATGTATGGTCTATGCATATGTGTCTGCTCATATTTGCATGCAGGTACTCGTGTGCTGCCAAGGATATATGGAGGTCAGAGGACAACCCGGGTGCCAGTCTTTACCTTTCATGGTGAGACAGGGCTCCTGTTGACTGTTGTGTGTGCTCCCAGGGATGCTCCTGTGCCCATCTCCCATGTTACTGTGATCACAGATGCTTGATTCCATGTCCGTTTCACATAGGACTTTCTTGTGCAGCCGGTGCTTTACCTGGTGAACACAGAGTCTCTCACTACTTCAGAGCTCACCGATCCAGTGAGACCAGCTGTCTAGTGACCCTAGGTCTCCCTGGTCTCTTCCTCCCCACTGCTAGGGTTCCAGGCATCTGCCATCGTGCCTGGTTGGTAATGCAGGTGCTGGGGATCCCAACTCAGGTTCTTTGCTCGAGTGACAAACACTTGGCCATTGGAGCCATTTCCTCAGCCCCTCTTTAAAACAAAACAAAATAACAGTCTCCTATTAGATGAACTTAACATAGCTTATTCTTGTTACACATGCGGTTTCATATACGTACAGGTATAGCTGTAAGAACAGTTTCCAGAAGTGGATTGATGGCGCAGTTGTAGGTTTACCATGTACTGTAGTTCATCCTCCCAGAAGGAGCACCAGTTTATCCCCGTGCCCGTCCTGTTAGCCTCTTACCCACATCCTTCCCAGGGTTTTGACAAACTTTGTGATCGATGTTAATCCTTTGTAAGCTTATAAATGTCTGTTGGGGGGATGTTTACACGTGCATGTATGTGTGTGCACGCTTATGCGTGTGCAGGTTCGCATTCACATGGAAGCCTAAGGTGTTGTTTCCCAGAAGCCATCAACCTTGCCTTTAAATTTTTTTCCCCTTTGAAGCACGCACTTGTCTGTATGTGTATGTGTATATGTGCATATGTGTTCGTGTGTGAGTACAGGTACACATGTGTGTTCTGTAGAGTAATTATGAGGGTCGGGGACAACCTTGGGTGGCAGTGGTGCCTTCTGACCTTCCGTCTCTACCTTGTTTGAGGCAGGGACCTGTAGTTATTTGCAGCTGCACGGGCCAGGCCACCTAGCCTACGAGATTCTGGGGTTCTCTTGTGTCTGTTTCTCCTCTCGCTGGAGGAGGGGTTGCCAGCTGTATGTGGGTTCTGGGGAATGCAGCTCCAGTCTCTGTGCTTGAATGGCAAACACTTTACTCACTAAGCCGTTTTCCCAGCCCCGTGGGGTTTTTTGATTTTTTTTTGTTGCCTGTTTGTTTTTGAGACAGGCTCTCTCTGGGACCTGGGGTTGAATAATGAGGCTAGGCTAGATGGCCAGCAGATTTGAGGGATTCATCTGTCATTGCCTCCTGAGCGTGGGACTCCGGGTGCATGCCATCATGCCAGCATCCTACATCAGTAATGGGGACCAAATTCTTTGTGCTCCACCAACTGAGCCTCTCTCCAAATCCTCTATGTTGATTTTCTGTTTTGTTTTTGCTTTTTGAGACATGTTTTCTCTGTGTGCCCTGACTGTTCTGGAATGAGCTTTGTAGACTAGGCTGGCCTTAAATTTACAGAAACCCTCCTGCCTCTGCTTCCTAAGTGCTAGTATTAAAGGTGTGCGCCACCACCGCTTAGCTAGCTTTCTATATAGTTTTAATTTGCATTTCTCTTATATATGAAGTGTGCGTTTTTCCTGTGTTTTTGAGCCGTTTGTATCATCTCTACAAAATTTATGTCTTTTGCTCTTAATTTTGGTGATCGGTTGTTATATGTTAGAAAATGTGGCCATTTTTCTGTGATTTGAGTCATGCATATTTTCACAGCTTACCATTTCTTATTAGACTTTATGATGGGATTTTTCATGTATTTTTTTTTATGAACAAAAATTTGGGGACTGGGACTACAGTGCAGTTGTTTCAGTGCTTGAGTTCCAGGCATGTGCCATCTGCTAGCTTCCTTTTGTTGATGTCTGTCCTTGTACCACCGTCACACTGTTTTGACTAATTATTTTAAGTTTATATTACATTTTAAAATATTAATCCACTTTCATGTGGCTTCTCAGTTATTTTTCTTTCTAGGCTATTCTTGAATGTTTGTTCTCAAGATGATTTTTAAATTGACTTCTTTGGGTTTGCGGTGGTTTGAATGGGAATGACCACCAGAGGCTCATACATTTGAATGCATGGTCCCCAGTTTTTGGAACTGTTAGGGAAGGATGCGAAGGTGTGACTATGTTTAAGGAGGTGTACTAATAGGAAAGACTTTGAGGTTTCAAAAACTCTGCCTTATGATTGTGGATCTGAATGTACTCTTAGCAGCTGATCCGGCACCATGCCTGTCTGCCTGTGGCCATGATCCCTTTCCAAGATGGTCCTGGACGCATCCTCTGAAACTTTAAGCCCCCAGTAAACCTTTTTTTCTTAAGTTGCCTTGGTTACAGTGTCTTAGCACAGCAAAAGAAAAGTAACTAAGATAGAAATAATTTTTAAAATGTGCTGTCAGTAACCTTTGCACTGCTAAGCAGTACCAGCAGATTCATGTTTTAGGGACTTAGTCTGACTGCAGTGTGGGAGCAAGGTAGGAGGAAACAAGAATAGAGACCCAAAACAGGTATAGCTCAGCATGGCGGCACACACCTGTGGAACGGGTGAGTTTTAACCAGCCTGGGCTATACAATGAGACTTTGTCTCAAAACAATCAAAAATAAAACCCCAAACCACAAGGCTGTTTCAGATTTCTTGGGAAGAATAAATGAATGGAGAATTAAGGAGCAGGGTAGGGGTGAATGGTACTGAGGTCAGTGTTCTCAAGGAAGATTTCAAATGTTGTGGGTTAGGCAGCCAGATAGGGCTGTTCCCCGAGGTGCAGAGTTTATAGGTCGGGCTGGTGTGAGAGGGCGGAGGCAGAGTGACTTGTCAAGGTGTGCAGTGGGAAACATCCCCTGAAGCCCTCAGCACCTGTCCAATCCTGAGAGGCTGCAGGTGCAGTTGTGTGACTGACCCCAGGGAAGCTCAGCATTTAAAGCATGGTTCGTGGGTTCAGAATTCCGTAGAGGCAGAAAAACAAGAGAGTATGGAATCATGGAACAGCAGGTTTCAAAACAGAGCAAATAACTCCAATTTCAGATGCTTTTAGGATGCCAGTAGTTTAGGGGCTGCAACATCCATTTGAACTTAGTGGCAAGGAAGGGCTGTGGATGGCGTGGGGATCTCAGTGGAGAAAAAAAGGTCAGGAACCGAGAGCTGAGCAGGGAGCTTGCTGCTTAGAAGAGATGCAGGATGAGGGGGAGATGGTACATCATTCTGTTCCTGTTCCCTCCCCCCAAATTAACACTGAGAGACTTGGCTGTGCCCATGTGCTGATGGGAAGAGCCAATGAGCAGAGGAAGAAGAGGGTTGTGATCCTGTTGCTGTCAAGAGTAGCAGGGCTTAGAGAAGTCAGCCAACATGATGTGTCTGGAAGAAAGTATGGGCGCATGGGAAGATAACAGAGAGCTAGTGTTGCAACCGCAGCGCTAGAGGTGGAAGCAGGAGAATTGCCGAGAATAAAGAAAGGAGGAAGCAACAGCAGTAAACAAAACCATCTAAGAAATTGGAATCAGCTTTAGGAACTTAGTGAAAGAGTAAGTTTAAGAAGCAAGCACTATCCAGATACCTCAGCTGGTGAAGTTGACGGCTGCCAGGCCTAACGATTTGAGTTCAATCCCCAGAACACACGTGGTGGAAGGAGAGATCTGACTCCTGAGAGCTGTCCTCTGATTTCCATGTATTGCTGTAGTATATGTACCCACCCCCACACTACACCTCCTACCCTCACACAAAAATAAATGAAAGTAAAAATAAAGTTAAAAGGCAAGATGTAAGGACTGAGAATGTTGGTCAGTAGTATGCTACTTGCCCAACACGAACAGAACCACAAGTTCAGTTCCTCGTACTGAAAAGAATAAATTGAAAAATAAAAGGGATTGGGATTCCTCAGTTAGTTGAGTGCTTGCTGTACCAGCAAGGGCCTGGGCTCGGTCCCCAGAGCCTTCATAAGAACTAGGTGTGGTGTGTGTGCTTGTGGTCCCAGCCCCGAGGAGTCGGGTCACTGAGCTCAGCCTACTTGGCATGTTCCAGACCAGTGGAAGATTCTCTCAAAAAAGAAGAAGAGTGAATGGCTTTAAAGTACCAGTGTGGACCTCTGGCCTGGACCTGTATGTGCACACACTTGAATAAATAAGTAGTGAGAAAGCTATAACATATGTGTTACATATGTTACTATGTGTGCTCAAAGAGAGGAATAGAAGTGGCATCCATTCCTACTTGCTGTGCGTACGTCATCATTATTTGAAGGACTCAGAAGCTATTATCCTGGCTATGTATTGGGAAGCAAGAAGTGAAACTGGGGTTGGAGGTTTTCTCAGCATTCTCCATCTTTATATTTTTTATTTGTTGAGAATGTAAATAAATACTTACTAAAATAACTTGATAAAAATAGTTTATTGTTTTTAAAAATAATAATTCCAACAAGATGAATTTTCTTTTCGAGGCAGGTTGTATAGCTCAGACTGGCCTTGAACTTGCTGTGAGCTGAGGATGACCTTGAACTTCTGATTCTCTTCCTCATACCTTCTGTGTGTTGGGAATACAGGTGTGTGATCAGCCTGCCGTTTTATAGGGCACTGGGTGTGGAGCCCAGGACTTTGTACACGCTAGGTAAGCATTTACCCACGGAGCTCTACTGTCAGCCCCAGGGCGCGGATTTTTTTTAGCTTCTCCTGTCTCTAATAAGTGTCCTTGTTGTCTGTTGAGCATCTAAGAAACAGACTCTGGCTTTTTGTCTGAGAGAACTTTGCCTTTATTTGACTTACCCTGACTGGGGACCAGCAGGCTTGGGGAAGCATTCCTGGATCCCTGGGTCAAAGAAGAGGGCTACAGTCTGCCACGGCTGGTCCTATTAACTCTGGGCTTTAAGGCTTAGGGTCCAGACAGAAGGAAGAGAAGTCAGTGTCTTGATGGAGCTGATGTTCACCCTGGCTCTCCACAGCCCAGCTGTGATGCACACCAGCAGCTAATCTTTCAACTTTGTCACCCCGTCACCATTGTAAATGATGCCCAGAAACGACAAAACCTCAAGGATTTCCCCAAGTTAAGCAGAAGTAAAGACACAGAAAGTGGAAGCGGTGAGAAGGGCTCTCACATTCATTATTGCCTTCTGGTGTCTGAGCGAAGAGGGAAACGATTGCATGGATTTAGCGTGTTTTATTTTTAGTGTGATTGCATGGATTTAGCGTGTTTTATTTCTCATGTCTAGTTCTTACATTCCCCACTGATTATGACTCTCACTTGAGGCGTTGGAGGAAATAAAATCACCTCAGATCTTGGACGAGGTAAAAAGTTCAGTGGCAGAGTCCTCGCCTAAACTTGTATAGGACCCTATTTGCTTCCTGCCACCACAAAGAGAAGAAAGGAAGACGGTTCAGTATATGAAGACATTGAGACGCCACAGAAATACCATATTTGCCGGTGGCTGTTCGCTTTACCCATTGTTAGTGTACCAAGTGAAGTAACTTATCTAACCCGAGGGCTGGGTTCAGAGTGTGAAGTCACTGAGTCAGCATTCCGATTTCTCCCACGAAAATCCCCAGGTACTGTGTGTCTGAGGGGCTTTTTAACCACTGTTCTCAGGTCTAGACGATCACGGCTGCTGAGCCTGTGAGGAGTCAGTGAAGGATCCCTTGTCAGCTTTGTCACGGTGGCTCAGGACCTCCTAGATCTGTGGGCTGGACTGCATGAGTGTGTCATGCTTCGAGGTGAAGCCAGCTGAGCCAGCAGTAGCTGGGCTACCAGGGGCTACCAGCCCCACCCTTCCCAGCTGTAGGCTGAGAAGATGGGGAATGCTGCATTCCTTTCCTGGGAGAGAGCTTGCTAAGACCTTTAGTAACAGAGAAGCCAAGGCTGCTGCCCAAGCCCATGACACACAGTATTCAAAGAAAGGCTCTTGTCAGCTCAGTTGAAATGTTTCGCCTCCATGTCTAGGCAGAAGTAAGAGCTTGCAGGTAGGAAGACGCCATATGGGTCCTACAAGTTTGTCTGTTTGACAAAAGAATTTGAAACCAAATTAATTCAGCTCTAAGTAAGCAACCAGATCCAGTTTTTATTGTTGTTTTGTTTTTTGCTTTTGTTTGTTTGTTTGTTTTTTGAGACAGGGTTTCTCTGTGTAACAGTCCAAGCTGTTCTGGAACTCACTATGTAGACCAGGCTGGCCTCTAACTCACAGAGATCAACCTGCCTCTGCTTCCTGAGTGCTGGGATTAAAGGCATGCGCCACCACCACTGGACCAGATCCAGTTTTGATTAAATGGAAAATCCGAGAAGGGGTGAGGGAGGAAAGAAGGAAGAAAAAAAATTTAAATTAAAATAAAAACCAACCAACCCCAAAGAATCTGATCTGCTGACCTGTTCTTCAGCTGGGGTGGCTTGGTTCCTCATGGGGGCGACTTCTCATCTGAGCAGATGCCCTCAAGAGATGGTGAGTGTTTGGGGCATGCTGCAGCTCGGCCTGAAAGAGAACATGCCAGACACATGGTGCATAACAAAGGACTGCACCCCGAGAGTGTGGTGTGTTCCATGTCCAGTGGGACCAGGGATAAGGATGCTGCATGCTTGGCTGACCTGAAAGGTCATCACTAGCTCTTGTGACTTGGTGAATTCTGAAGACCAGGACACTGTGTCTCATCATGAGCAAGAAGCCAGATGAGGATAGTACCCTCTGCTCTTTTAAACCAAAAACAGGATGTAAGGGTTGCGGGTTTTTAACCCGGTATCTTCATTTAGAATTACCATGTGTTCTATCTAACTAAATGTTCCAGATTCTTTTATTCTTTCCAGACACACTTTTTCTTATACTTTAATACTTTTTTTTTTTTTGATTTCCGAGACAGGGTTTCTCTGTAGTTTTTGCTGTCCTGGAGCTAGCTCTTATAGACCAGGCTGGCCTCGAACTCACAGAGATCCACCTGCCTCTGCCTCCCGAGTGCTGGGATTAAAGGTGTGCACCACCACCACCCAACTTACTTTAATACTTCTTTTGTGAAATTAAATACTTGCTTTGTCCTTTATTCATTTATTTTTTTCTAGTGCTGGAGATCAAACTCAGCATTCCGGACAATTGCTCTGCTAAACAACTAAATATTCTTATTTTGTTCTTTAAAGACATCAGTAATGGGCCAGTGAGATGGCGCAGTGGGTAAAGGTGCTTGCTGCCAAGTTTGATATCTGAGTTCCATCCCAAGAACCCACATGGTAGAAGGAGAAACCCTGCTCCCACAAGTTGTCTTCTGACTGCCACACTCATACTGTAGAGTGTGTGTCTGTATACATAGAAATAAACACATGCTTTTAAAAAGATGCCACTAGTAAAGTAAAATAGCAGTAGATAAGAAAGAAAAACAGAACATAAAGATAAACATACTCTGTAGGGGTGAGGGGAGCTTGCTTTGTTAGCCAACTGTATGTACTCATTACTAGTCTCAATATCTTACAGGTTTCTCCCCCCTCTGTCTGCTTGGCATTAGACTAGGACCTTGTACGTACTAGACAAGTGTTCTACCAGTGAACTGTATTCCCATCCGTTTTGCACTTTTTAAGCTGAGACAGGGTTTCACTAAGTTCCCCTGGCAGGCTTTGAACTCACTCTGTAGCTTAGGCAGGCCTTGAACTTTTGATTCCCTGCTCCAGCCTCCTGAGCAGCTGACATCACAGGCCTGCGCTGTTAGGCTTGCTACAGTGTCCTCCACGTTAGTATCGCCCAGACTTTGTTCTTCTTGTCTCATCTAGTCCATTCCCCTCTTAGGTTTTGGGGTTTTTTTTCCTTTTAATCTAAATTCTAGATCTCTCTGAAACTCAGTGATGTGTCTCACTGAGTGTAATCACAGCGGTGAATCTGGTGTGAGTCAGAATGTAGCAGGGCTGTAAGGAGGGGAGCAGAGCAGCACCCCACGACTGTCTCCTCTACCCATTCCCTGTGGCAGGTGCTTTGATCCCTTCCTAAAAGGGGCCCTAAGCCTCCACCTGACCCTCACACCCAGAGGGTGCCCTCCTGGTGAGCCCATTTCTAGGCCTGGCTTCCACTTTGCCGTGACCTGGCTCAGCTCAAGCCTGGGTTCGTCAAAAACCAGTTTTGTCTGAGGACTCTGTGACCTACAACAGAGCAGTTCTCTGCTGGGTGTGATGGCACATACCTATAACCCTGTGCTCGAGAGCCTGAGGCTGGAGGATGTTCAGTTTGAGGACAACCTAGAAAACTCGCAACCAAACAAAAGCCCAAACCATTTCTTCCCTCCCCAGTTCTTTCTGTCGTCGGGAGAAGCACATGAGCCTCCTGGAGATGAGTGGGCAGGCCTGGTTTCCCCAAACCAGGGGCTCTAGTCGCACTCAACGTTTAGAGGAGCTACACTGAGCAAACGGTCTTGCTCACCACCAAACACATCACTCCAGGCAGTTTGAAACTTCTCCGGGAACCAGAACAGCCTGACCTGGAAACAGAGTAAAATGCCTCCAGACGGCTCAGAGCCTGCGTTATCCATGGCCACCCCCACCCCCGAGGATTTGAAGTTGAAATTTTTTGTTTTATTATGGAAATTTTTAGCTGTACACAAAAGTAGAAAGAATAAAATAATGAACTATTACCACTTTTAATAATTAACAACCAGCATCTTACCACTTAAACTTTTTGATCACTTGTGCTAATGATGAAAAGAGTTTTGTGTCACCAGTTTGGGCGCATTGTTTGTTTATACGTTGTCTGCATATGGTACTTTCTGTTAAGCACACACACAAATATAAAGCTGAGTGGGAACAGAACTATCTTCATACCGCGAATCCCTTGGGGGACACACTCTGCTCTGGAGCCTGAGTTGTTAGAAACATTAGATAATTAACCAAACATGTTGGCACCCATTACATGGCAGGCACCATGTGGGTGCTGGAGAGAGGGCTTAGAACTCAGTCTCCAGTCTGTTCCGCCAGGGTATCATCTGTCTCTCCTCTTTAGGCCTGAGGAGCCCTGCCAGAGACCTGGCTGCCCTTTTCATCCTAATCTTTAAAGACTGCCCCAGCTTAGCGCAAGACCCGACACTCTAAGCCTGCCTTGCGTGTTCTTTGTTGTGCCCTTGTATACCTTGTTTTCTGTTTTGAGCCAGGGTCTTACTGTGTATCCCCTGCTGGCCTGAAACTCACCCACTGCCTTGGCTGCCTAAGTGCCACCGTACCCCAGCCTTTATTCCTTGTTTGGACAGATTATTTTGCCTGACCCTTTGTGATCATACTAGCTGCCTTGATTGTCGCCTTAGCTACCAAAACAAATAACCCAGCAATCAAAACCACATATTTTTGATGTTTTGTAGAGTAATCTTTTAGCTTGGTCTACCAAGCCAGGCTCACTTTGCTTTATGTGGCGTTTGAGAGTAAGGATGAGGGTCTGACACCTGGAGAACAGCCTGACTTCAGATCTGCAGCTAAGAGCGTATAGGAGTTTGTGAACTGAAACCCCATTCTTTCCTGGATTCTGATTGCAGTCAGGGAGCATGGCAGGGCACTGGCACATCTGCCTGTGGGCAGGTTGTATTTTGTCATGTGTGCTGGTTGATTTTGTCAGCTTTACACACGTTTAAACATACCTGGGAAGAGGGAACCTCCATTGAGAAAATGCTTCCATCAGATAGACGTGTAGGCAAGTCTGTGAGGCATTGTCTTGATTAATGATTGATGTGGATGGTCCCTGCTCATGCGCACGTGTGCGTGCATGTGTGCGTGTGTGTGTATGTGCGTGCGTGTGCACGTGTTCCCTGGCCAGGTGGTTCTGGGTTGTTTAAGAAAGGAGGCTGTGTAAACCATGAGGGGCAAGCCAGTAAACAGTTTTCCTCCATGGTTTCTGCTTCAGTTCCTGCCTTGACTTCCCTCAGTGTCCTGTGGTCACCCGGCATATGTAAGCCAAAATAAGCCCTTTCCTCCCAAGTTCCTGTTGTCGTGATATTTTATTGCAAGAATAGGGACTCTCATGAAGACATCGTAAGAACCAAAGGAGTTTCTGGAGGTGTCTGGAGCGATCTCCTGTTGGGTCCTCAAGAGAGACACAGTTCTTACTATACATGCCCTTCTGAAAAGAGCAAGCCTGTAGCACATCTCAGTTCCAGCCCAAGTATAAATAAACCCTGGTCATAGAGCTTGCCTTAACCCCTACTCTTCCTCGGCTGAAGTATGCTCAAAACCAGTGGCCAGTCTTCACAGATCTACCAGAAACTAAAGAAACAAGCTAAAGCGCTTCACTAGGACAGGCTAGCTAAGGGGTCATTTTGTAGAGCTCGGTGATCTATTTCTGTGTGACCTCAGGCCCAGCATTGACTCACCCGGCCTGTCTTACCTTCCAGCCAAACTCGCCTCCAGTCGCCTTGCTTACCCTTATCAGGGAAGCAGGAGGCAGCTGTGGGCCTGAGTACAGAGAGACATGGAGGGCTGTTGAAGCAGCGTTTTCAGTCTCTGAGAAGGAAGCATGGCTGGACCAGTAAACAGCTCTAGGGCTTTCAGTCAGCTGGCTGTTTGTGACCTGCCTCAAATGAGATCATAGGTGAACGTCAAGTCATAGGTGTGTTATATACATCACAGCATAGTCAAGTATCTTAGCAGGCATTGTCACATGACTTACAGATCTTCAGTAGATTTACAAACATAGTAACATTTAATAAGTGTGTGTGTGTGTGTTGCTGATTATTGAATGAATGAACTAAGGGATAACTTATGAACTAACACACAGGTGCGCTCCCACTGAGCTACAGCTTGAGGGATATATATCTCCGTCCAGCCATCTCCTGGAAACAGAATCTTACTGTGTAACCTAAGTCGACTCTGACTCTATTATCCTTCTGTCTCAGTTCCCTAGCGCTGGGATTTTAGGCATATACCAATATGCCTGGGTAGAAAGAGTCCTAATAAAGAATTGATACATCAGCTAAAACTCCATTTAAAATCTCAGAAGTTGTTGGTTGTATGTAGACCACTTAGCAAAGAAGGCAACGTGATAAGATATAGAGATCACTGAATGAGTCCCAGAGATTCAGAATTCAAGTTGCCAGGCCGCTGGGCAGGCCACCACACACCTGTAATCTCATCGGTGGTAGAGGCAGGAGTCTTGGCTACATAGTTTAGGGCCAGCCTGGGCTGTGTGAGAGGCTCTCTCAAAACAAACTATTTAACTAACAAAAAAAAAAACATATTTCTATTTTGCCTTCCTGAGAACACTCACTCCATCTCTTGGGACCTTGTTCCTGCCTGTAGAAGGAAGACCCAGATTGCCCTCTGTGCAGGCCTTGCTTTATTTGCCTAATGCACTCTGGTAGACCAACAGCCCTGTCCCTGCCTTTGTTTCCCCTGTTACAGACTAAAGAGGCCTATGTGTGATATAAGAGAGAATCTCGGGCTCCCTTCCTGTGCGCTTTGGCTCCCACCTGCTTCTGTCATTTGATTTCTTGTTTATTGCTGGGATGGATGAAATTGCTGCATAAATGATACTGAATCATGATATAATTTTGGGTGACTTGGAAGTTTCAGGCCAGTATGCATTCCTGGTACTAACGGTGGTTTTTATCGTTTTTTGCGGTTTTATCTGTTATTTGATCTCTGTTCATCACTGTTTCTACAGCTACCGAGAGCTGCTCTATAGATTGTGTCTGTTTGAGAATATTGGTTGGCCAATGCTCTGAAAAGATGCTGAGGTTTGGACATTGTCAATCAGAATTTTCAAAAGATCCATTTATGGGCTAAATCTTGATCTCCTGTCACTTTTTAAACAGCTACCTTTAAACTTCTGGGCTTAAGCAGCCTCTGAAGTAGCCAGAGTTCCAGGCGCATACCACCAGGATTGGGTTAATATACATACAAACGTTCAGATGTGTGTGCATGCATGGTCTGTGCATGTGTCTGAGTGTCTTGGTTGTGTTGAAGATCAAACTTGGGGTTTCATGCATCCTAGGCAGGAACAGTTTATTTCTAAAATGTTAGCAAAACTTCTTACATGCAAGAATGTCAATTGATTAGCACTGGACGGTGATGGTACACAAAGAAACCCTGTCTTGAAAAAACAAAAACAAAATAAACAACCTTAAGCTAAAATTTATTTTCTGTTTGCTGCAGAAATAAGGTATGTCTTTGTTGACCATAAATAAATTGTATACTATTGCATATGTGCACTTTTAAAATTTATCATTTATCATTATTATTATTAATTATGGTTTTTTTGAAACAGGCTTTCTATATAGCCCTGGCTGTCCTGGAACTCACTATGTAGAATATGCTGGCCTTGAAGTCATAGAGATAGGCATGCCTCTGCCTCCCAAGGGCTGGGATTAAAGACGTGTCATTATACCCAACTTAATTTAAGATTTGTTTATTTTTATTTTATGTGTATGGGTGTTTTGTCTTTGTAGCACGTGTGTTCAGTGCCCTCCAAGGCCAAAAGAGGTCATGGATCCTCTGTCACCTGCCATGTGAGTGCTGGGAACTGAACCCAGGTTCTCTGGAAGAACATCCAGTGCTCCTAACCCCAACACAGTCTCACCAGCCCCATACAGGCCTTTAGTACTGATAATACCTTTAAATTAACATACAGCTCTCTAACTCTAAGACTTCAGCTCATTGAATGAGGAATCCACATATATTTGCCAGTGAAAATGGGGAATTCTAATTAACCACGATGTAATGACAGGCCAGCAATGTTGTATACCTGAGAGAGCCAGCAGAAGTGTGTCAGTGGTGACAGTGCTTTTACAGCAGAGGCAACGTACTCCTCTGGTCACTAGCCTGGACTAGATCTAGTGGAAGGTGATGAAACCAGCTGCACCAGCTGTAGCTTCCAGAAGTGATGTGATGTGGAGACCTAGGTCTGTCACATATGTCTCACGTATATGTGATCACCTTAACACACCAAGAGCCCTAGCCAGGGCTGGGAATGCAGCTCAGCGGCAGAGTGCTTGCCTAGTACCGTGGTGGTGCACATCTGCCATCCAGCACTCGTGAGGTGAAGGCAAGAGGCCCAGAAGGTGAAAGTCATCTTCAGCCAAGTAGGTGGGCAGCCTGGGCTGTATCAGAATCTGCTTAGAAATAAAGCACGCAAGCAAACAAATCAAAAAAAAAAAAAAAAAGCTGGATATTCCTTCTGTGGAACCCCTCCCATCCTAGCAAACTGTTTCTTCCTTTTCCGTAATAAATCTGTGTGCATGTGCATGTGAACACACGCATGGGTGTGGGAGACTGAGTCCTACCCGGGATCTAGGTTCCTTGGGGAAGAGCTCTGCGTGTGTAATATAGTGCACTATTAGCTCTGGGTTTCTTCTCTGAAATCCACAACCTGCAGAGGCCTGGTGCTGTAAACCTGTAGCTTGGGCTGCTGCGGAGGCGGAGGCGGAGGCAAGAGCATCACAAGTTCACAAGTCAGCCAGAGCAACAATTTAGCAAGACCCTATCACAAAGTTAAATGACAACCACCCCCCCCCAAAAATCCACCAGGGCTGGGAATGCAGCTCAGTGTAGAGTGTTTGCCTAGAACTGCAGGCTCTGGGGGAGGGGAGAGCAAGCAAGCAGCAGTGCGGTTTCAGAAGAGGCCTGTCGGAAAGGGTCTGCTCTCAGTGCTGATGTGGCTCGCTGCCTTGTCGGCCACCTCTTACCTGCGAGGCTGGGCCAGTTGGCTGCCCTTGTAGGTGTATTTTTCGGAAAAATTCAGTGTACAATCCTTTACAATCCTACAAGATAAGGAGAGCCTGAGAGCAAGGCTCTCTGCCTGTGGACATCTAGTTCCGACAGTAGGTTGAGCAGCTTTCACTATCCAGACATCCCCTTTCCTCATAGCTTGCCCACAGAGACAAAGGAAGAAGTGGCCTTAGCTATCCCCTTGCCCACCTGAGTGTTAGCCTCAACCCACTCCCTACCTCTGGAGCTCCGTGGAATCTTGTTTATTGGGTCAGGCTCTACTCCGAGTCTGCCCTCCTGCAGAATCTTTCTTATCTCTTGGGTCGCTACCCAGACATATTTCTCTGTGCTCTCCCCCAGCAATCAGGTCATCCTGTAAGGCAGAGCCAGCAGGCCAGGTCCTTGCTGGCCTCTGATGTGAACTTGCACTTTCAGGCCATTGGTGTTGTTTTTGGTTGCCACCAACAACTCTGTGCGTTCCCTCCCTCTGCTCTCCAGTGCTCAGGGGCCCACTTGACCAGCACTGGCTCCAGACTCTGAGGTTACTTGGCCAGCCGTCCCTTTATTGTTTGAGAAAAAAACTGAGTTATCCCAAACAAACAAGAAGCCATGGAAATACAACTGAATTTGGGTTTCTCCCACAATGAGTTCTTGGAATTGTTAGAAATTCTTTGAGATGACTTTTCCTCCTCTGTCGCCCATGCTGTGCTCATCAGACTTGAATGCTCCGCACTGTACCCCGGAGTCTCAGATTCTGAATCCCTTAGAGTGCTCCTCGGAGCCGAGCTGAGGCCCTCCTAGAAGTCTCTAGGCAGTGGTTCAGACAGTCTTCTGGCTTTCTGCCTCCTGGTTTTCCTCCTGCTCTCCTCAGCGCAGGCCTCCCTGCCATCACTACCATAGCAGAAGGGTTTGCTGCGGGAGCAGCCAACCCAACCCTGGGCACTCAGCAGACATCCACTTTTCACTTGGATTACCAGTCAGGAACTGTAGGGCACCCATGGAAGCGCTCCTCCTGTGTCTTTCTGCAGTCCAGGCAGAAGGAACATGCTTTACTTCTCACAGCAGAAAGAAAAGGGTATGAGGGTTTGTTTGGACAAGATACACATCCGTTTGCTCCTAAGTCATTAACCACTGCCACCTCGAGTCGCTCGGTCCGCTCACCTCCCCACTCCACAGTCATGCGTTCTAGGCCCCCATTAGGTCTTAGAGGTGGTGAGGTGTGAGGTCTGGGTCTGTCGGGGCCATGTAAGGAGGCTTCCAGGGGAATCGGTAGGGTGGCCTTGAATATGATCTCTTCCATGCACATCTGCCCTCCCTTCTAATGCCCACATACAGCTGGGACAGGGCAGTCCACGCATAAGGGCTCTCACTTCATTTTTTTTGTCTTAATTTTATTCCCTTTATTTATTGGCTTGTTTATTCCTGTGTGCTATGGCATGTGAGTGGCGGTTGGAGGACTCTTCATGGGAGTCATTTTTCTCTATCCACCATGTGGGTCCTGGGAGGATCAAACTCAGGCCATAAGGCTTACTGGAAAGTACAAATTTTTTGTTGTTGTTGTTGTTTTGGTTTTCTTTTCTTTTTTAAAAATAATTTATTTATCTTTATTTTGTGTACACTGGTGTTTTGCCTGCATGTCTGTCTGTCTGTCTGTATGTATGTATGTTGTATCCCCTGCAACTGGAGTTACACACAGTTGTGAACTGCCATATGGGTGCTGGGAATTGAACCCGGGTCCTCCAGAAAAGCAGCCAGTGCTCTTTAACCTGTGAGCCATCTCTCTAGCCCCTGTTGTTTTGTTTTTCAAGCCAGGGCTCTGTATAGCCCTGGTTGTCCCGGACTTGCTTTGTAGACAAGGCTGACCTCAAACTCACAGAGATCCACCTGCCTCTACCTCCAAGTACTGGGATTAAAGGTGTGCACCACCACCTCCTGACCTCATTTCGTATTCTTAACAAGCCTAACTGGAAGCTGTCATTCCTACCTTACTGATACGGAAGCCAGAGTAACTTGTTAGCAAGAGGAAGATGTCGCGGTGCCTCCAAATCCCACAGTTTTTGAACTGCAGTGTAAATGGCTGGCTTTATGAGCTTTAAAAATGAAGTTCTGTATGATTTCTGAATTAGTATAGACAGGTTGTATATTGTGAAATAATGTTAAGTACAAAAACTAGATCTCAAAAGTATATTGACTTTCAGCCAGGTGATGGTGGTGGCACATGTCTTTAATCCTGGTACTCAGAAGGCAGAGGGAGGCGGATCTCTGTGAGTTCAAGGCCAGTTTGGTCTACAGAGTGAGTTCCAGGACAGGCTCCAAAGCTACAGAGAAACCCTGTCTCGAAAACAGCAACAATAACAACAACAAAATGTTGCACAACGATGTAAAAGTTATACACAAGTAAGCTTGAAAAGCAAAGGAAAAATTAAGTACTTTTTAGGGCAGCAGATATTTAATTAAATAAATAATTTTTATTTGTTTGTTTGTTTGTTTGTTTGAGACAGGGTTTCATGCTGTAGCCTAGGTTGGCCTTGAACTTGTGAATCTTCTGCCTCTGCCCCCTCTAATTCTGGGGTTACAGGTGTGTGTGCGCGCGTGTGCATGCCCATGCATATGGGTATGCATTCTGTGGAACTTGCATAGAGGCCAGAGGACAACCTGGCAGAAACAGTTCTTTCCTTTCACCTCTGTGGGGTCTGGGTTGAATCCAGGTTCGGGCTTTCGAGGCATGCACCTTTACCCACTGAGCCGTCTTGCTGGCCCGGTAAAAACATTTTAAGATAGAATTGTAGCTCTCAGAAGGCAAGAAGAGACTGAGAGAGCTTGAAACCACAGTCCCTTGGTTCTCCATTTTCTAACTGTGACAATTTTTATGTAGAATCTGTCTGCTTCCACATTATCACATTAGAGACTATTTTGATATATTCTGTAATTATGTAGAAACAGAGTCACATGTGATATGTTATTTACCTTGACACAAAGCACCAGCGTGCAATAGTAAAAGTAGAAACTCGGCTTTTCGTCTTTATCAGTAGCTCTTGAGGGTGAGTGGCAATATCATGGTTAGAGGCCAAACGTTCTTCCTTTCTCTCTGCAGCCGACATTTCATCCAGCTGATAATGTTCGCGGAACCCGCCACCATGGGCTGGTGGAGAGGCCAGCCCGGAACCGCTTCCACCCCCTTCACCGAAGGTCTGGGGAGAAGCCAGGGAGACAAATATCCTTTTTCACTGTCTGAGGAGAGTGTGAGTTCTGAAATGCTTGAGAAACGAGCGCTCAGGATTTATCTCACTGTAGCTCCAGCTGATCTTCTGAGAGGAAGCAATAAAAGTCACTGAGCTCAAAGCTGTCAACATTTCTGCAGCCGGATTGGGCAAGATCATGGTAGGTGTTTATGAAAACATCGGGAATGTTCTGTTGAATGACACAGCAGAACATAAACATGTAATCCAGGCATGCCAGGCGTCCTCAGCATTGTCTTCAGAAACCAGCAGAGTTAAGCTTGACTTGGAATCAACTTGGAGAGATTTAGTCTATCTAGCAAAAAATGGGCAAATTGATGTTTGTATGATTGTTGACCTGATGACCTGTTTTTGGAATTTAAAGGAGAAATCTCATAAGATTGTCTGTTTATATAGTTTCAAACTCAGTAAATGATAAGTAAGATATAAACTTGATATTTAGGGAAAAAAATTCTTTTAATTTATGTGCACTGGTGTTTTGCCTGCATGTATGAGGGTGTCAGATCCTGGAGCTGGAGTTACAGTTGTGAGCCAACTTGTGGGTGCTGAGAATTGAGCCTGGCTCCTCTGGAAGAGCAACCAGTGCTCCTAACCACTGAGCCATCTCTCCAGCAGCATTTAGGAAAATTCTTTAACAATGATGTGATACCAAACTCTGTTGCTAAGGAATAAAGAAAGGGGCCAGTAGATTCATCTGGCACTTTGATTTAAGTGGGACAGGCTTGGGTGGCATCCCACAGTGCTGAAGGTTGGTTTGGGGCAAACAGAGCTGAACTGGATGCTGCGAGAGAGGAAGAAACAGCAGCATGCCAGGACCTCTTCTCACTTGCTCTTCTCAGCCCAGGCACAGGCTGAGGAAGGAGCAGGTAGGCGTGGCCAATCTCCCTGCAGAGAGCTGATTCCTGGCAGTGATGGTAGAGTTGGCTTCACAAGCTTAGAAACCAGGAAGTGGGGGAGGGCACTTTTGTTTACTGAGCACCTACCCAGCCAGGCACTGTGCTGGACAGTTTATATGTCATTCAGTCGTCAGAAGTCAATGGGTCGTTGACTTTTTTAACCCTCATTTTCCCACGAGAAAGCTAGATGTCAGAGTAACTTGCCTAGGATTCTACTGCTGTGACTCATATAGCCCAGGCTAGTCCAAGCAGTGGCAAGGAGAACCACATGCTAGAGAAGACTCCTAGTCTCCTACTGCAGGGACTCACAGAGAAAGGATCACCTTTTCTTGCCTTCAATGCCCCTTGGGTTTTACTCTATTGAGAAGCGAGGGCAGTGGTCCTGGCGAGTCCTGCGTCCTCCCAGCTCCTCTCCAGACACACTGAATTTGATCCATGGAGCTGCAGTGACTTCTAGTTTTGTCTATTAGATGGCTGCTGTCGGGGAAAATGAAAGTGACAGATGATCCTGAGAATTCCTTCCCGGAATGTGTGGTGGCTTCACACAGAGTGCGGAAGGGAAAAGGGAGACACGGTTTATCTAACTAGCACCTGTGAGTGTGGCGTGGCACGCCAAGCAATTATCCAAACTGCCTGGAATTCTCTAGCAAAAGGCTAAATGTTTCTGCCTGATTTAACAACACATGGACAGGAGAGCATAGATCAGGGGCAGAGTATTTGCCTAACGTTCTCAGGGTTTGGGGTTCAGGAAAATTTTCTGCTAGTGTGGCTCAGTGGCAGAGATCCTGGCTTATGTAAAGCAAGCCCTGGATTCAGTTCTCAGCATGAGAGAGAGAGAGAGAGAGAGAGAGAGAGAGAGAGAGAGAGAGAGGAAGAAGAAGAAGAGGAGAAGAGAAGAGGAGGGGAGGGGAGGAAGGAAAGAGGGGTAAAAAGAAGGAAAAGAGTGGGGAGTGGAAGAGACTGAGGACTGGGGGTGAAGTAAGAAGGTGAAGTAGGGTGTGGTAGATCCATTCATTAAACATGTATTCGTGGAGACCCTTCCCTGAGCACTGAGGACAAAGTGATGGATGAGGTATCCCTATATTCTTGAGTTTTACAGTCTTCTGAGAGATGACAGGCAGCTAAGCAGCAAATAATAATTAAGGAAAGTAACTTCAGATAGTGTCTTCATTACTTTTCTGTTGCTGTAATAAGACACCATGACCAAGACAACTCATTAAAGAGTTTATTGGAGGCTTAGAGCTTTAGAGGGTTAGAGTCTGTGACCATCTTGGTGGGGACCATGGCAGCAAGCAGGCTGGCAGGCATGGTGCCGGAGCAGTAGCTGAGAGCTCACTTCTTGGAGAGAGCTAACTGGGAATGTCTTTTGAAACCTCAAAGCCCACCCCCAATAACACCCCCAACAAGGCCACAACTTTTAATCCTTCTCAAACAGTTCCACCACCTGGGGACCAGGTAGTCAAACATTGGCCACTATGGAGGCCGTTCTCATTCAAACCACCACAGATGGCAATAGCTAGAGAGTAGCAGCTTCCAAAGTAAGGCTCTGGTGAAGGGAACGGACCGAACAAAGTTGCAGAAGGGACTGCCCTGCATGTCCAGGGAAGCTGTCTCTCTTCGGGTGATACATCCCAGAGGGTGGCCTAACTCTGAATCAGCCCATTAAGAGCATCAGCAAAGCCAGCCAGCCAGCTCGCAAGGGAAAGGAAAGCCCCTAATTTGGATTCTGGGCCTGGATGTCTGATGTAGAGAAGCTCATTAGCCTAGGGATATCCACCAATGAACTATTGCATCACGTTTGGGGCCTCAAAAAACTGTGAGCATCAAGTGAAAAATAGAATGGATGATTTTAACATCTCAGGTGGTAAACTTACTCGGAATTCGGAGGGAGACACCTGAGGCCTTCTTTGCTTTCCTGGCCAGCATTCTGTTGGCGGTGAAGTAATTCACTTTATCCTGTTGCCTTTCATATCTGTCTATAAAGCAGTCTAGTTTTTAAAAATTATTATATATATATGTATATATATATATATGGATGTTTTGCCTGTGTGTATGTCTATGCACCACGTATGTGCCTGGTGCCTATAGAAGCTGGAAGAAGTGAGATTTCCTGAAAGTGTAGTTGCAGGCAGTTGTGAGCAACCATGTGGATGCTCAAAACCAAACTCAGGTCCTCTGAAAGATCAGTCAGCGCTCTGAACCTCCAAGCCCTCTCTCCAGCCCCCAACTTTTACCACTTTAAATGCCAGCAAATGGTTTGAATCTTTGTTGATCAAACAGAAGAAAAAGATGTATTCAGAATTCTTTTATTGTAGTTGTTTCTTAGCGTGGGTATTGTTTTAGGGTGGGCAATCTGCTAACAAGGGTTTGGTCCAGGACTACAATGGCCACAGATAAAATGAACATTGTTCAGCAAATACTGCAGCTTCCTCCCCGAGTGGGCAGCCACAGGGCTCAGGTCCAGGAAGCTCCTTCTAGATTAGGCATGCATGGTTGCCACAAGGCCAGGGCATTGCCACAGCAGGACTCTGTCGACCCCTGCTACTGCAGACAAAGGAGAGGCACCTCAAAGGCTATTCTTAGCCTAGAAAATACACCTTTCTGCAGCAGTCCATGTTTAGCGCTCCAGCCGACCCCCCCCCCCCCCCCCCCACCCCACCCTCTTCTTCTCAGTGGTGCTAGACTTGCCCTATCCCAAACACACTCTGTTGAGCTTCTGGACTGCTTTCTGATCTGGAGGGAAGACGTTAGAAAACCCGTTCTCAGAGAGGTGCATTGTTGTGGAAGGAAGAAAACAATATTTAGAAAGCTCCCCAGCAGAGCTGAGACCCTGGCCTGAGCAGACCTAAAACACATGCCTGAGAACCTGACAGGAACCGCCTCTCTGCAGCAGGCCTTGGCTTATCTGGTCCCAGCAGGATGGAAATTTTAGAACATGGGATATTGTTCTTTGAGAGTCGTAGCCTGTCAAGTCTCAGAAACACTGTACCCCTACCCCCAACACACACACCTGCTCTTGGAGTCTCATGGTACATAGTAGGGTTCTGAGACACTCTGGAGTTAATAAATGTCTATCTTTATGGGTTTTCAAAACCTGGTGACCTCCAAAACCCAACCCTTCCCTAACAGTCCTGTCAGACGACAAAGAGACACCGGTCCTTAGAGTTCTAAGGCAGAGCAATCCTAACTTCATAATGTTGCCTGCAGCCTGCTTTCCTCTCACGTGTGCAGAGACTTAGAAAGATCTCATACATGTCTTTTCAAATTTGACTCGAGGCCTGGCAGGGTAGTTCAGCAGCTAAAAGGGGCTTGCCAAACACACTTAGCAACCTGAGTTCCACCCCAGAGCCCATGCAAAGATGGATAGAGAGAATTTACTCCACTTGGTTAACCAATGTGCCTTGGCATCGGTGCCTCTGTCATGCACATACACATGTGGACTAATAAGTTAAAATTTTTTATACCTGATGTATTCCTTTTATTGGGGCATGTTTGGGCTGAACATGGTGTGTTACAAATGCAGTTTCAGTGCCAGGAAGCCAAGGTAGGAGGATGATCACAGCTCAAGGTCAGCCTGGCTCTACAGTGAACTCAGGGCCAGTCTGAATGAGACTTTGTCTTAGGAAGGGAGGATAGAGAAAGAAAAGGAAACAGAAATCAGGGGTCAGAAAAATAGAACAGTGATAAAGATACAACCTAGACAATGGGAAGGACTCAAACAGTGCCCCTCTCTTAGACAGAGAACCCTGGTTTCTCCACTGTCCATGCTCGGCCCCATCCTTGATGAGCTCAGAGTCGTACCAGCACTTCCCTCCCTGAGTCCCTGCAGTCAGCAAGGGTAAACTGAGCCCAATCCATCCACAGGGGCTGTGCGTCTTGGATTTTTAATTGTCTACTGACCGGGATGAGATAACAGTAAAGGAGAGAGTCCATAAGTCACACTTCTAGCTTCTTTTACCTCAGCCTAGTTACATGAAGACCAGCCAGGATTTACTACATTTTCATGTTCTAAGTGCTTATTAAGCAGCTTAAAATGCAAACACTGTACCCCAGCATTGAGGCAACAAATATTTGACCTTCCACATTCTAATTTGTGTGCAGTGCTTTGTGATGGGACTTAATTTGTTCTGAGACAGGATCTCCCTATGTATCCCTGGCTGTCCTGGAACTCACGTGTAAACCAGGCTGGCCTTGAACTCACAGAGATCTGCTTGCCTCTGCCTCCCAAGTGCTGAGACTAAAGGCCACCATACCCAACTGGGACTTAATGGTTTTAAGATGTGCTAGACCCAATAAGCAACACAGAACCTAGAGAACAACAGCTTTTACACTTGGAATTTACATCCACATCAAGTCTAATATAGTTCTCTTTTGATTTAGAAATTACAAGAACTCACCTTAATTTGGAAAAGAATTTTTTAAGATAAGTACATATACATGTATACATACATACACACACACATATATATACATATAATCTCAGCACTCATGAGACTGAAATGGAAGGATTGCTTTGAATCTGAGGCTAGCCTGGGCTACATGATACGTTCCAGGCTAGCCTAGGCTACTTAGTAAGAGCTTGCCTCAAAGACAAACAAAGCCTCCCAAAACAAACTCAAAAAGAAAGTTCACCCCCCCCCTGCACTGGGGGTGGGTGAGCCCAGGGGCTCACACATGCCAGACAAGGGCTTTCCCACCGAGCTATCTCCCCACGACTTCTTGTTCTTACTTTGTTTGAGAGAGGGTCTCACTGAGTTGCTAACTCTGATCTCAGACTTGATGTTCCTGCCCCAGCCTCCTGAGGAAAAAGGAAGTAGATTGACTGCTGTCACTGGAAACCCAAGGGGTTTGGCCAGGAAGCCATATGGTATCTTTAAGACTGTCTCAGTGGTGTTGACTTCTTGCATAGACAAGCATTCTGGACTCAATTGCCTTATTCCCACCTGGAAGTACTCTCCTTGGTCCTGTTTGTGTCCCAGGCCTCTCCGAGAACCAATTACTCTTTGGAGAATGAGAAACCTTGACAAAAACTAGCTGGGCCTGAGTCCATCCATCCAGAGAAAGGGAGGCCTGCATAGGGTGACCTTACCAGTGGTGTACTGCAAAGAGATGAAGTTCACGAAAACAGACATTGGTCTGGAGACACACACACACACACACACACACACACACACACACACAAGGGGGTGGGGAGAGAAGGCTCAGTGGGCAGAGTACTTAACCATGCAAACTTGAGGACCCAAGTGTGAGCCCCAGACCCATGTGAAAAAGCAGGACATGGCGGCATGCACTTACAATCAGAATGCTGGGCAGGCAGAGACAGGCAGATCCCTGGGATTGACTGGCCAGTCAGTGAGCTACAAGCCAAGGAGATGCTGTCTCAGCAAACAGGGAGCAGGGCATGGTGGTACAAGCCTTTTATCTCAGCTCTGGGAAGCAGAGGCAGCACTACAAAGCCAACTTGGTCTACATAGAGAATTCCAGAACAGCCAGCCCTAGATAGGGACTCTCTCTCTCTCTCTCTCTCTCTCTCTCTCTCTCTCTCTCTGACACACACACACACACACACACACGATGAAACAACAGCAACAACTAACCAAGGCTTCTGAGGATGACTTCTGACCTCCGCAGACGCACATCTGCACAGCTCATTCATGATACATCTGCACTTACACAACACAGAAACAGCCCACGCGAGCCTGGTGAGGACACGGTTAGAGAACAGATCATAGAACTGGTGAGAATGTGGAGGGGCGTGCCCCATTAGGTGTGGGGGGAAACTCAGCCGCCGAACCTCCAGTTTCAGTTTCTTAATTCTGCTTTAACTTCCCATAAATTTTGTTTTCCTTTATTAAAAATTCTACTTTGATGGGAATACTTTTGCAGCCAGTTATCCTTCGCAGCCCCTGGATGAGAGCTGGCCAAGGTAAGAGAGCTGAAAAGAAGTATTTTGTTTTGTTTTGTTTTATAGGAGTATTTTAACAGGTAGGAGGGAATCTCTTTTTAAGGTGGTTTAACCATCTTGAATGTTGTTTTAGATTTATTTATTTATTATTTAAGTTTTTGACTTTTTAAAAAATATTTTAGTCAGGGTCTCTTGTAGCTCAGGCTAGCCTCAAACTTGTGATATAGTCAAGGAGGGCCTTGAACTCCTGATCCTCCTGCCTCTGCCTTTCCAATGATGGAATCAGAGACAGGTTCCACCATGATTTTTTGGGGGGGAAGGGTGGGACGACAGCATCTCTCTATGTAGTCCAGGCTATTCTGGAGCTTGCTATGTAGACCAGGCTAGCCTTGAACTCACAGCAATGCTCCTGCTTGTGCCCCAAGTGTCTGGCCTAGCTAGAAATTTTCAACATCACATTTTGTTTTATCTTATAAAGTTTAAGTCTTGTGCTGGGCATGGTGGTACATGCCTGCAATCCCAGCACTTGTCTGCAGAATCACAAGTTTGAGGCTAGTCTAAGTGACATAGTGAACTCCAGGGAGCCCACGCGATGAAATGAGTCCCAATCTCAGATGACAACAACATAAAAAACCGCACGCAGCCTTTCCATATATAATTCTGAGCTTGTAAGAAAATACAGAATAAAAATTACTTAAGCAAATCTAGATTCAAATAGAAATACACTGGGAAAACATTTACCAACAAAATGTCTGATTTGGTAATATTATGATAGACATGAAAAAATAAATTCCTTCTCTGGCGTTTCTTAGTCAGTTACTGAAAGGAATGAAAGACTTCTAAATTGAAAATGTATTTGGTTTAGCGTCTGTGAATATGTTTTGTATCTGGTATCTGGTGACCCATTAGACATTCACAGAAAGAGGACTGACTGCCTCTGTTATGTGTGTGGCATTAGTTCACACCTCCACATCAGACTTAAGAGATTCCTAAAATGTATGTATCATCAGGAGTGATGGCCCATAGCTGTAATCCCAGAACTTGGGTAGCTGAAGCCAGAGGATTGCTGTAAATTCAAGGTCAGCCTCAGATACAGAGTGAGTCCCTGTCCCAGAAAACAAGATGTTGGGCAGTGGTGGCATATGCCTTTAACCCCAGTACTTAGGAGGCAGAGGCAGACAGGATCTCTGTGAGTTCAAGGCCAGCCTGGTTTACAAAGTGAGTTCCAGGACTGCCCTCATAGCTACTGAGAAACCCTGTCTCAAAAAACCAGAAAAAATAAGAAAGAAATTTTTTTTTAAAAAAAAAAAAAGAGAAGACATTTAAAAAAGAGAGAGAGAATTCTCTGAATGTCAACTCTCAATCTTTTCCTCATCAATTCTTTGGGCAAATACTGACTGAGCCCTTATCATGAATAACGTAGTCTGGATCTGAGAAAGGAGGTCAAGATGGAGCAACACTGGCCCTGCCTCAAGCAGGTCTCAGCCTCCTCAGGAGTCCTGAGATTCACTTTTGTAAGGTACAGCATTGTACTTTAGGTCAGAAAAGGCAGATCTCCACATAGATGTGCTTCAACCCCGTATCCCCATATCCCAGGGTATCTTTTGTTCCTCAGATCCCTAGGCCTGGTCAGGTGACTATCTTCATAGGATGGCTAGCAAGTATGTTGTACTCATGGCCTTCCATGTGAGAGCAGATAATCATATCCCGGATTGCCAGCAGCCCTGCACACATACTCAGGGTAAACAATGAGGGAAACTTCATGTGCTGGGATAAGACCTACTGTCCCTTAGAGAGGGAGGGTCATTCTTCCTTTGACCAGTTCCACCCAGTGCCCAGTTGTGCCCAGCTGGCTAATGCTGTGCTATGGATTCGCAGTAGCTATATTGGAAGACAGAACTGCTGCTCCAGAGAGACCACTCAGTCTGGCCTCCTCACTAGTGCTGAGCAGAGCAAGGCCTGAGCGTCTTAGATAACCCAGGGCCTAGATGGCTAGGTTCGAAGAGCCGGCTACCAAACACTCTTTGGTCCCATAGCTTAACCTTCTTCCCTTTTTAATGTGGTTCTGGTTTCTAAAGGCAGCAGCCTCCTTGGAAAGAAGAAAAGCATCCTGGATTCAGGCTGACATCTGCACTTAACAGGTATGTGGGCTGTTTCGTAGTAGAAGTACATTTTTTTTTAAATGTTTATTTATTTTATTATGTATACAATATTCTGTCTGTGTGTATGCCTGCAGGCCAGAAGAAGGCACCAGACCCCATTACAGATGGTTGTGAGCCACCATGTGGTTGCTGGGAATTGAACTCAGGACCTTTGGAAGAGCAGGCAATGCTCTTAACCTCCAAGCCATCTCTCCAGCCCTAGAAGTACATTTTTAAGGAGATGATGGGTTTGGCCAGGCAGCTCTATGTGTTATCTTGCTGCCCAGTTTGTATCAGTTGTGTTTGTATGAAGTGGTAAAAACAAAAACCGAATACTGTTGAGTGTGTAGGAGATGGTGCAGTAAGAACATAAAGTCTGGAAGGGACCACCAAGGTTTGCTCTGACCACATGATCCCAAACAGGGTACCTTCTGTCTGTCTTAGTTTGCACATACGAACACGGAGGTAGTCATTGTACCCAGGAGGGGATTGGCTGTAAGGATTAAATAGGGATTAAATAGAATGCCACATGGAGTCACAGTACAATAAATGTCAGCTATTCTTGAGGTTACTTTAAGCCATACTTTAGGAATGACCCAGTCACTTTTCAGTCCTGAGCCAGAAGAATGACTGTCCTTTTCTGCTTTAAGAGGATAAATGACTGCATACTAGCTAATATGCAGAGGGGACTGGAATTTGAAAAACAACCAAAGGCTTGAATTGGACATGGTGGCTCAGGCTGTAATTCCAGTACTCCAGAAGCTGAGAGGCAGGAGACAACCAGTTAAAAAACATGGGCTGTGGAACCGAATCTTAAAAAATAATTTAAAAATGAAAACTCTCAGTGGTGTGAAATTTTCAGTATTCGCAGGAGAGATAAAGTGGTAAACAGCCTATGCTCACTCAAAGTGTTTCTGTCTTGGGTGGCATTCTGCCAGTCTCATTTCTTCTCTCCCTCCTTCCTGTGTCATCCCATGACCAGCTGAAAATGCCCCACCAGCTGTGAATGCCCCTCCAGCTGTGGATGCCCCACCAGCTGTGAATGCCCTACCAGTTGAAGGCCACAGAAAAGCTTAAAGCTCATAACTGCAGTGGGATTAACAATGGTAACGATAATTTCCACTCCGTGGTCCAGTGGCAGTCAACAGTCCCATTTCCCCATCCTTCTCTGTTTGACTGATGTTTTCTGGGTTTCTGTGACTCTGCCGGAGCCAGGAGCCCTCAGGGCACACACTGTTCCCGCAGCATCCCAAGAGTCCTTCCCATGTCGCCTCTTCCCTCCCCTGAAACCACGTGGCTCCAGTCACATGAAGCTGTTGCCTGGAGCAGAGCGTGAAGAAGCATTTTAGGCTAACTTGAAGTTGCTCATGTGCCCCCTGTGTGACAGACAGTTTGACCTTTGGATGGGATGAATAAATAGTTGTCATCTTTTGGAGCTGAAGTCGTGCATCCACTAGAACTATCTGAGAGCGTTTGAAATACTTGCTGTTGATCAACAATTCCCACACATTTGTCTAGGACTGTTTTACACTGGAAACAACAGCAGACACACACACACACCACACACACTGAAAGAACATTTCTCTGTGTGAGCGTACCCATCGATACTCAGCTGCTGCCGATAGAAATCTAGCTGAGATGTGAAATGTACCCATTGGTGCATTTCAGCATAGCAACAATAAACTTATTACATGCCAACAGAAATAATACTTTCTTTAAAAGACACACAGTAGCCCTTCCTAAAACAAGCAGAATGTACACACTAGTTGCATTATTGTACCTCCTGCAGCCATAGTCAGTGCCTGTGCTGAGTCTGTTGTGCCATGATGTATGGCACAATTGCTGGGGAGCCCTGCTGTGCCCTCGGAGGGTGAGAATGAAGAGGGGATGGTAGCGATGTTCTGACCATGCATTCTCCTGGAAAGGGCTTAAGAACACTGTTTCAGGTGCTTTTCCACACGGGCTCAGGAATTCTCAGGAAGCCTAGTGCAGCTACGGCTCAGACGGGCCCCAGACCCTCTCCTGAGATGCAGAGGGAAAAGGATAGCCTTAGGGAAGCTGTGAAGCTGAGGCCAACCTTGCTGAAATAGTCCCCTGTGTCATTAGCCTCATAGTGTAGGGCCATCCAAGCCCAGATTGAACTCTTTTGAACATATGGTGGACCTCAGGTGCCTTCGTGGTGTGAAGGACTGCAGGTAGGTCCCGAGCCTCCATTGTGTTTGTAAAGTCGGTGTTCTCGTCTTCTCTCCTGTTGGTAATATTCAGAAAAAAAAATCAAAAAACAGCTGCATTTCACTGAGGAAAAAATGGATTTTCAGCCAGACTCTCTCCTCCCCTCCTCAGGACCAATTCTGATTCTGCTCTTCACACGAGTGCTCTGAGCACCAAGCCCCAGGACCCCTATGGAGGAGGCGGCCAGTCACCCTGGCCTGCCCCATACATGGGTAAGACACATAGGCCCCTGCTACTGGCATCTGTGCTTTCTCCTGCACTGTAGAAACTGAGAGAAAAGCGTCTGTGATGCATGCTCTTCTCCAGTCTGGTGGTCTTCAGAGAAAAGCTCGCAGCAGGGGAAGTGTGTGTGTTCATGAGACAGTTAGACTGCATCCCTTGCTTTGCCCATGGCTCCTGCTTCCTTGTTGGCATCTCTTGGCTCTGGAGCTTCTGCTTCCCTGTGGCAGCAGCCCCCTTTTCTAGACACTTGTCATCCTCTGCACAGGCTTCTGCTGCAGCATCCTTGATGGTCTTTGTCCTAGCTTTTATGTCCTTGTAGTGATTTTGTTGGGTTTTCCAAGGCCTTCTTTTGTCACTGATATGACCAGGTTGGAGGAAGTGGCTTCACTTTGAAGATCCATGGACCTTGTAGGGTTGAACCTCGGGATGGAGGCAAACCCTCCAGCAGAACTGGCACAGATAGTCCCCGTGGGAGGAGTAATCAAGACCAGGGCCGAGTAGAGCCAAAGAGAAGACCTTTCCACGGGAAGGCTTGTCCCAGAGAACAGGAGAGGGAGGGGGACAGAATGGAAGCTGAGTGTCGTCATTTGCTCCTTGATCTCCATTTCTGCTCAGAACCCTGGTTTTCTCCCTGTGGACCAGAGGAAGTCTGAAAGAGAAAGTCCAGGAACCGGAACGGGCAGACTCATGCCACTTTGTGCCTCTGCTTCCACTGTTAACCCCGTCTGCTCTCATGCTCTCTCTCCGAAACCGTCAACGTACTTCCGTTCAAGGTCTTTTGCTGGAGTTACATGAGTGTACCTCTCCTCCTGTTCCCCATCCGCTCCTCATATGTGAACTTGCTGTCTCCTCCCCTCCCCATGTCTTCCTCTCCTGCCCAGCCACCACCTCCTCCGTGTGAAAGCCTCCGCCATGTCTGCCCTTCCTGCGGAGCCTGTTTCATGACCTTCCTCCCTCTGCTGGTCCTGAGCTATCTGTGCAGGTGCTGTGATCTGACTACCACTTCTTCATGTAGACTGCTCCTCTCCCCCTGCTTTGGGTAAAGTTCCTGAAGGCACTGTCTTAAAAGTCCTGTCCTAGCCAACACCTGACACAGTGCCCAGTACAGAGGCACATTTACTGCTGGAGAAGTATGGCGAAATCTTACTGTACTGAGCACTCCCTAAAACTGATATGACCAGGTGCACACATCTAACCTGCACCCGAAGTGGGGATGCTTCATTCGGATACTTCCCAAGCATGTCTTTCTGGGCCTTCTAATCTAGAAAGAATACAGGCTTGAATCATCTGCTACATACACAGATTGACTTTGATTGCAAGGACTGGCCCAGCTACTGGCTTTTCCGGTTTTCTTTACAGTTTTGGTTTATTTACAGCCTAAAATGTCTGTTCCTTCCGAGGAGAGCCATTCATGGTCTCACTTCCTTGCATATAATAGGGATAGGATTTGATAGTAATTGTTACTATATTTGCTCCCTTGGTGCAATTCATTTGCTGAAATGACTCTTTGTAAAGCCTGGGAGCTTTGGAATTGGCCAGGGACATCTGCTGTATTTCCATACATGGGAATTTGAGAGGGAAGTTGGCCGGGAAGTTGGAACTGGATGTGGGTCACTGAACAGTGCTTAGAGAAGTGGGGGGGGGGGAGCTAGAGAACAGTAGCTCCTGGAAAGGTAGAGATAGATGTGTATAAACAAAACCTTAAAAAGCAGAGACTAACCAGTGGGGTGCCTGTACACACAGCAAGGTGTCTGCCACCCTGCTGGGTGCCCTCTAGCCCAGTGTCATCTTCCCTGGAGCCCTGTGTTCCTGCCTTGGCGTTGCCCTCTGAGATTACCTGTTCTAGAGGGGACTGAAGGCCTAGGGAGGACAAGGGAACCATTGGTAATTTAAGGAGACTTTGAGCTCCCATGTAAAGAGATAGAAAGTAACTAAGGAAATCGAGCTGAATGTTTGCTTTAAGAGTAAGGTCTTCTCTAAGAGAAGAGGGACAGCCAGCAGGTGCGAGGCTCAGGATGGGAGGTCGGTGACTCAGACACTGATCCCTGAGCGACAAGAAGAAAGGGAAAGGAAGGAGCAGGTCCTGGGCAGGGCTCCTGGGTTGCCTCAGGAACTTTGGTGGTCTCTCCTTTTCAACTGAGTGTTAGAAATCATGGGGCCCCAGAGTCTGCCAACTGCAGAAGGTGAGCCAACCCCCGGCATGGCTGTCTGCACTGTGTGCCTGCCTCTGCAGTATCACAGGCCTCAGAAAGACATCCAAATATGGATGTGTTTACATGGGAAAGCCAGTGTGTTTAAAATATTATTCAAGTCTCCAAGGATGAGAATTATTTCTAGAGAATTATATTTGTTGGTGGGAGCTATTTTAAATGGTTTTATGTATTTTCCCCATGTAATTCATTAAAGTTTTTCATTTTCTTTCCTTTTGGATTTTAAAAATACCAACTAGCTTCACAAAAAAAGTATTTCTTTTTATAGGACCCACCAAATAAAGTAAGGATTTTAAAAGTTATGGGAAAATATAACCAATGTCCAGAACTAGATTCTGTAGTCAGAACAATAACAGCGACCCTTTCCTGGGAACCTCTGCTAAGCATAGTGATGGAGGCCCATCGTTGTCACTGTCGTTGTGGTTGGGAGCAGATGATGAGGGAGTGCCTGCTCATAGTTCAGCTACATGAAGAGATTGACCCATTTGCTAGCTCAGTTTATATTCCCAGGAAGCAAAGCTGTTAGCCTGATGTATGGTTGGTCCTTTTCATAGTGGTTGTTGAGTTACATGATAACTCGACATAAATGATATGAAGTTGTGAATGAGAGAAGCAAACTTTCTTACAGCCAAACGGGGTTTCATCATTTCCCTCTTCTTGTTTAATTACCTGTTTCCCTAGTAACATGCAGTGTCATTACTGTTCCGTATACACATGTGGATGGAGCAGCACAGTGACTCTCTGTGACATTTGTCCTGTCCCACAGCCTGGTTTTATCTCCAAATTGTCCTCCTTCATCATAGCATGTAGAAGGAACTAGAGTGGCCCTTGCTCTTCAGGGAGCAGGCTAGGAGCTAAGGGCAAAGCGTGCAGACTGTGGCTACAAGCCACCATCTCTGAGGACTGTAGTTCCTTAGGTCTCCTCTGAGGGCTGGAGATGTGATCTGTTTCTCAATGACCCTTCAGCCAGCAATAAGCCCTGACTCAGTGTGCAGAGATGGTTAAAGTCAGGTAACCATCAGAGAGCTAAGCCTGTTAATGACACTTGTCTACCTGACACAAAGAGTCAGCTCAGCAAGGCAAATACTCCCATGCAAATATGAGAAGCTATGCTTGGATCTCCAGAATCCATCTAAAAACCAGATGTTGTCATGTGCACATGTATCTGAATACTTCTATGGGAAGGAGGGAGGTGGAGACAGGAGAAAGTCCACAAGTCTGTGGGCCAGATAACCTTGAGTATGCAGCAGCCAATGAGAAGAGACTTTGGCTCAATTAAGGTTGGAGTTGAGGACCAACACCCAAGGATGTCTCCGGACCTTTGCATGCACACACATGGCTCATATGTTCACATGTGTGCGCACACATACACACAGAGGGAGAGACGGAGAGAATAAAATATAAAACAAAACAAAAACAAAAGTGTCATCAGGGTGGCAGGGAGGCCCAGATGGGGAGGATGAAATTCTAGAAACTTCTCTGAGGATTCACAGTGTCTACACCTTGTATTTCTATGCACATGAAGACTGTGAGGCATTGTGTAGGCTTGCCAGACGTGGGAGGACATAAAGGAACATGGGCTCCGCTGCCCTTAGTTAGATCAGCCCTCTGAGGAGCCAAGGCTGTGGGTTTCCTACAGCGCAGATGGGACTGCGGTCGTTGCCGTACCGTCGCCTGGGGGACTCTTTTTCTAGATACCTAGCCACAATTCCCTGCTTTTTGTCTTTAGCCCTTTTGTTAAAGTCATGCCCTTTGGTATTTTATGTTTGCACGTTCGTATGTGTATAACTGTGTGCCGTGGTTATAGTAGTAATAGCAATAGAAATCTACATTTGGCTATTTTATTATGTATTAATTTCAAATAAATTGTCAATCACAGCTGCCCCCGTCCTCTGGTCACTTCAGTGGAACACCTGAGAGTGACATTAAATTTTCCTTATTCCCTCGCCCTTCACCCACACGACAGACCAGCTCTCCCTGCCGTGTCTTCTGTGTTTTCAGTCTTCACTGCCAACCACATACCCTGCTTCACGACTCATTGTTCAGTCCGCTGGCTTTCTAGCCTGGTGCCCGGGCCATGAGGCTGTCCCAAAGCTTCTCATGTTCTGCCACGAAGAACAGTCTCTCGGGCTTATTATTAACCCAGGCCTCTGTTCTCCGCTTCATCTCAATGACTTGCAGACTCCTTCCAGCCCACCTGTCTCCCATTCCTCCCAGACCTCACTGTCCCCTGCCCCTGTTGTAGGTGTCTTCCTCTTCTCCTCCCCTTTTCCTTAATCCCTCCTACTCCTCCTAGTTCCACTGAGGCAGCCCGTTAGCCTTACTTCCACTCACCTGAATCCCTCCAGGCACTGGCTAGGGACGTGGACAGAGTTCTAGTCCCAGAACCAGCAGTGTGATCTTGGGCGTAGCGATAGATCATGTCTCCTGCAGTTGCTCCAAGGGTTAGATCATGTGTGAGGTTCCTGGGCACGCGGCAAGTGTTATCCTCCCCTCCCTGTTCTCACTGCCTACCTAGGGATGAAGCCTGCCTCCTGCACCACACAAGCAGGCTGCCACGCAGGGAATCTGCTCACCTCTGAGGTTCACGTGGTACCTTCAGTTAGCTCTTTGTATTGTAGGGACTGGTTAACCTTAGTAACTAAACAGAGTGTCTTGATGAGGAGATTCCTTAATGTACAATAATAGACCATTTCATAAAATGCAATTTATCATTTTGAATAGGATAATTACATTTTGGTGGTCATAACAGTCAAGTTCCCTGTCCTTTCTCAAAAAGCTGCAATGTGAATGAGCCGCTCTTGTCCCCTCCTGCTGTCAGTGCTGACTCTGGAGCATTGCCTCTGTCCCTCCGCACTGCATTCTCCGATATTTCCTGTCCACACGGCAACTGCTTGGTCCAGCCCTGTGCATCTTGTCCAGTTTGCTTTGCTTCTTTGCTTTTTGTCACCTTTTACTTTTTGTGTGTGTGTGTGTGTGTGTGTGTGTGTTGCTGGACTCAGATCCATGGCCTCAGCATGCTAGGCAAGCCCTCTGCTGTTGAGAAACATGCAGTTCACATACCTTCTGCATCAACATCCTTAAAGGTCAGGTTCAAGACTCCTCATCTTAACAAATTTACCCTTATGACCAACAGTAGCAGTTCATGCCTTTAATCCCAGCAGAGGCAGGCAGATCTCTGTGAGTTCGAAGCCAGCCTGGTCTACAGAGAGAGTTCCAGGACAGCTAGGGCTGTTACACAGAGAAACAAAAAGAAAAAGAGATTACTCCTTAGTGGTCTTGAAGATGCACTAAAACAGTTTTCAGTCGCTAACTTAGATTCTGTTTTCTGGGAGAAAGTCTGTGTTTTGTGAGTCTGATCAATTAGTAAGCCCTTGGCGCTCTTGGGAATTTAGTGTTCATCTTCCCCTAAGATGCCGTAGCTCTGCCTCTTCCTGCCTGCCCTGCACCACCTGCCCCAACCCTCTAACGCACACTGCAAGAACTGAGCAAGTGTCTGTTGAGTGAATGATTAATTATTAAGTGTTAATATTATAGACCAAGTGGGTGAATTTATAGTTTAACCATTTCATCTAGAAACTTACCTAAGCTGAGCTGTGTTTAAGGGCTTAGACTTCAGATTTTATCCTGAGTCTATGCTGAGAACTCACTTGGTGTAAAATTGCTCTGAGGAGAAGGGTTAGCTAGTCCATGTTGGGGAGACTCTAGTTCCAGCCAGGGCTGCGGAGGGGACTGCACATGGTCCTCTCGTCTTCATTCCACCAGAACTCCAGACCAGTTTTAAAAAGCTTTGTGAACAGCTACCACATTTACCCTGACCTTGCCTTAGACTCTGGATGTGCATTTTTTTAAAAGCAACTTGTTTAAGAATCCAGAATATGTCACAGTGTCCAGCACGGAACTACCACCCATAGTAAGTGTCAGAACAGTGACGTGGATTCCAAGTTCCCTGCCCTCCTGTGGGGTGACATATTTGGAAGTGTGGCAGAACAAACTTTTTTGCTTTGTATTTTGAAGCCAGACTGTCTTCAGGTATTTCTCAGACTGCCAGCCACTGTTCTGTCGAGGCAGAGTCAGGAAGAACCTAAGACAGGAAGAGCTCTTGGGCACCGACTCTCGCCTCTGAGTAACCGCATCTGTTTGTAGTGTGAATGCTAAAGCACCCTGAATGAGCTTTGTCAGAACTGCTTTAGAATCTTCCAAACTTGTATTTCATGTCAAAAAGTTATTCTATTGCATGATAGATGATAGCATCACATATAAAAGGTTTTCTTCTTCTCTTTCCACCAGGTTTCTGTGACGGAGAAAATGACGGCCATGGGGAAGGTATGAGTAGGTGTTGGGTTGACAGTCACAGTCACGTGAAGTCTGACAACTGTTGCTTAGATTACTTATCTGCGATGCTCTAAGGAAATTAGCTAGGCACGATCAAAGCCCTGAGAGAGGAAATGTGTGACCAATTACAATGGTGCCTTGTTACCCGAGTCCCCTCGGTACCGCAGTCACAAGCTTGGACTCGGAAGGAAGAGTTGTAACCACATGAAAATGTGAATTAATCGCCGACTTAAGCAGTCGCTCCACAGCCTGCTCTCCACACTGTCTCAGCCCCCTTAGAAAAGCCACTCTGAGCTACTGACAGGTTTAAATGACAGTGCAGGACACTGTGCGAGTTGGCGCTCAGGAGGTGGGCTGCTCGGCGTGCATGCAGCTCAGAGTTCAGCCTCGAGCACCAGACACACCAGGCTTGTGCACACTCCTGCAGTCCTCCACCTCGGAGCTGAAGGCAGGAGGACCAGAAGTTCCGGGAGAGTCTTAGCTACACATAGAGCCTGGGCTACGTGGGAAAAATTTATTATAAGATACAAGTTTATTATAAGATAGAGTTATTCATTTTGCAGAAGACGCTGACTTTATAAAGCCAATTAAAATCATACTGGAGTTCTGCTGAGATGAACCTGAAAGCCTCAGCAAATGGGGCTCCAAAGCCGTTCGTTCACCCAGTTAATACTGGTGCTGTTGGACCTTTAGAAACTGAAATATAATTTTCATAATCTGAACTAGCTGAATGGCTAAATTTGTTTGTATGTCACAGAGGCCAGGCTTGTGGAGAACAAGATAAGCAAGGATCCCTTGCATGAGGCAGAGCCCTCTGACATCACCCTGCACGCTCCTTTTCTGAGTAAACCATTTAAGGTGTTAAGTAAAGTCATAAAAACTTGAAACTGTCCAGGCAGTGGTGACACACACCTTTAATCCCAGTGCTTGGGAGGCAGAGGCAGGCGGATCTCTGTAAGTTCAAGGTTAGTCTAGTCTAAGTCTAGTCTATAGAGCAAGTTCCAGAGGGCAGGCTCCAAAGCTACACAGAGAAACACTGTCTCATAAAACCAGAAAAAAAAAGGAAAGAAAACTTGCAACTGTTTCATCTGATCATTCAGGACAGAAATGAAGAAATGGCTTCAGGGTCATCCCCAGCTATTTCTTTGAAGAATTCCCAACAAGCCTTGTACATGGAAACAAACTACAAACAATGAATTCCTCAGGGAAACAACCTGTTGAGGCCCTGCGGCCTGTCCTGGTCCTGTGACCCATCTCTTTTAGGCCTTAGGTCATGAGGCTGCTTGCTTAGCCTCCCGTAGAACCTTCAGAGCACATTGCTGTCCTTGTTCTCCATTTGCCTAGAACCGCAAAGGCTCACAAAGCCCCTGTCCCCCAGTTGTGGAGAGCCCCTGTGGGTCTACATGTCCCAGAAGTAGAACTGTCTTAGAGCCTCGCAGAGCTTACCTCTCTGAAGCATTTATATTTGTGATAAGAAAAAGAGAGCCAACAAGAACATAGACAGAATATACTCTTCACAAAAGACTAATCCTGCTGGGAAAAGTCATGTAGGATTTTTCAGGGCCTATCCTTAGCAGTACATAAAGGGAAACAAGGAAGAAGAAGAAAAGGAAAGAGTGAGTGGTTTGATTATCAGAACTGAGCGACCCCAAGGCACACAGATCAAGTTTGGTCGTCTCTGCAGAGGTGGCATTTGCTGCCCTGGTGCTGGGAGGTCAGCCATGATGAACCCTGCATCGTGCCGGGCCTGCCACTGAGAATGAATTCTGGAGGCCACAGCTGTAATTATTTCCTAAGTTTTATTAACTTACAAAAGAAAGAAAGAAAAGGAAGAGAGAGAGAGAGAGAGAGAGAGAGAGAGAGAGAGAAAGAAAGAAAGAAAGAAAGAAACTTAGAGGATTTATTTTAAACCTTTTCTCAGAGTTAATTCTGAAACTTTGGCCTGTGTTTTGTTGTTTGTTCTGTGAGATTTGGTATCATGTAGCTCAGGCTGGCACCAACCCCTTGATCTTCCTGCTTCTGCTTCCTACAGCTGGGGTTACAGACTTGATCAACATGCCTAGCTTTGATCTCATTTTTAAGTGACTTCCTGGGCTCTATTACTCATCTCATGCAGGCCAAAGCAGGACAGGCAAGACAGTCACAGTGGAGCCACACAGTCCCTAGAACCCTGCAGCATCCCTCTTTCCGAGCAGTCTCCAGGGTCTGCTCTTGAATAATCTTCCTGACATTAGATCACATAGTTCTTCAGAGCTCGCCTTTGACCTTTGGGTCTGTGTCTGAGAACAAAGAGCCTTCACTTGGTTTGTGTCTTGGCTGGCCTTCTCTCTTTCATTGGTATGGCTGAGCATGTTCATGCAGACAGCCAAGGACAGTCCCTTCAAGCAGAGCCGGGCTGTTCTGTAACATTAGAGACTCATTAGAATCCTTATCAGCTGCTCAGCCAAACGTGCCAGTGGGTTATCAGTTCTTCTTTAGTCCCAGTCCCAGCCCTTTACCAAGTGGCCTCACTGCCACTGTGATTGTTATACATTGTGTGTGCATGTGTGCACATGTACATCGTGTTTATGAATGTGGACGCCTTGGAGGGCACTTGCACATACACGTGTGTTCATCTGGAAGCCCAGATCTGGGTGTCTTCCTTGATTACTCTCCACTTTATTTATTGAGATAGGAGAACTGCTGAATCCAACTTGCTGACTTGGACTAATGTAGCTAGCCAGCTCGTCCAGGAGCAGGGAGCCCCCATCTCTGCCCCTGGTGCTCTGGGATTACAGGTAGCTGCCATGTCTACCTGGCTTTTGCATAGGTTCTGGAAATTCAGATTCTGGTTCTCACTTACAAGGCAAGTGCTCTCTCCACCGAGCTGGCTCCCCAACCCACCTCTTCATTTGTTGTTACCTTCTTCATATCATCTTTTCCTGATTAGTGTGGGCATTTTTCATTATCTCTTTTCCCACACCTGTAGGGCCCTGGGAAAGAGACCTGGCCTGGTCTCAGACTTCTACCCTTTGTTTCCTGTTGTTCTCCTTTACCTAACCCATAGTCAAGGAAAAAGAACACTCTGGCTGGTGGTAGCCCCCATTTCTTCTCTAGACTTCTTTACTTACTCCACACTCTCTTGCTTGAATGCCCTTGACTGTCTCTCAAGGGGCACAGAGCACCCGGCTCCAAAGCCTCGGTGTTCTTCTCTGCTCTGAAGCAAGGATATATATTATTCTACTGGGCTTCTTTCAGTTTTAATGACTGTCGTAGATGTGTTGCCTTCATCCCCTGGCTAGTTTATAGATTCCTTCAAATTTGAATCTGTTTCTTAATTGTTTCTTCAACTCCTACAATGACACACAAAACACCTTCACAGGAGACCATCAATAAATATTTGATAAGGGTCTGGAGAGATGGCTCAGTGGTTAAGAGAACTGCCAGAAGACCTGGGGTTCGTTTCCTAGCACCCACGTGGTGGTTCACAACTGTCTGTAGTTCCAGGAGATCTAATGCCCTCCTCTAGCCTCCATGGCCACTGGCATTCACGTAGTACACAGACCCATTTAGGTAAAATGTCCATACACACAAAATAATGCAATAACTAAAGAAGAAAAAGAATATGTAAAAAATAAATATTTGCTAAAGAAATCCTGTTCACTAGGCAGGGTAGAACATGCTGTAATCTCACCACTTGGAAGACAGAGGCTGGAGGATGGCTGCAAGTCTGAAGTCAGACTGGGTTACATAGCAGGTTCCAGGGCAGACATGCCTAAATACTAAGAACCATTTTAAAAATAGTTTCCTTTTCTTTCTTTCTTTCTTTCTTTCTTTCTTTCTTTCTTTCTTTCTTCCTTCCTTCCTTCCTTCCTTCCTTCCTTCCTTTCTTTCTTTCTTTTATTCATTTATTTATTTAGTTAGTTTTTTTTTTTGATACAGCATTTCTCTTTGTAATCCTGGCTGTCCTAGAACTCACTCTGTAGAACAGGCTGGCCTCGAACTCAGAAATCTGCTCTACCTCTGTGTACTGGGATTAGAGACGTATGTCACCACTACCCAGCTTCTTTCTTTTCTTTTGAGACAGTGTTTCTATGTAGCCCTAGCTGTCCTGGAACTTCCTACATAGAGTATGCTGGCCTTAAATTCATAGAGATCCATCAACCTCTGCCTCCTGAGTGCTGGGATTAAAGGTTTGCTATCCCCTTCCCATCCACCCCAGCTCTTTTTAACTATGCTGATTTATTTGACCAGAAGTGGGGTGGCTGCCTTCTAATCTTAGTTCAATGAGTCTGTTTCTTCTCCCTTTCAGTAGCATCTTTTCCTGGGCCGTTGAAAGAAGAGAATCTGTTAAATGTTCCGAAGCCACTGCCTAAGCAGCTGTGGGAGACCAAGGAGGTGGGTGAGCCGTCCTGGCTGCAGGCATCGTCCTGGCTAACTGCCCTGCAGAGACGGAAGCCAAAACTAGGGAAAAGGGAAGAGAGGACTTGGTTGGACCCTGAGACTGGACATAGCAGGGGATGCTGCTCCAAACGACATTGTGATCACGTGGTGAATTAGCATAGTGATCGTGTAGCTTCCCTGCTTTCCTGTGGATTTACTGAGTCTCCAAGGAAAACTGTTAGGTTGCTGTACCTCACAGTCAGAAGCTTGGGGCTGGCACGAAAGGTTGCTGTCTCTACTTGGGCGCCACTCTCCGGCTCCTGCTGAGGACTGCTGTCGTGACAGATGATCCTTTCTGACACTGCAGGCCTTTGGCCCCAGCTCAGAGTGGCAGCAGGTGACACATCACCTGTTTGCTATGATTTCTCTGAGCTTCCAGTGTTAGTATCTAAAGGCCTACTGCTGACCTCCTCCTCACTGTGTGGACCTCTGGGGAGACGGAGGCCCCCAGCTTAGCTTGGCCGCTCTCTGTAAAGCCAGCCATTCTGAGGGAAAAACCCCTCCTTCCAGCCCCTAGTGATGCTCAGATGTAGCTGGTCTGTGCCTAACTGTCCTGTCTGTCAGGGTCCCATTGGTGCTGTTCCTTCTTCTCCCTGAAATCTGCCAAAGTTTCTGCTAGCATTAGAGTGGTCTTAAAAGGTGGGGGTTTTTGTGTGTGTGTTTTTGTTTTTTGGTTTTTTCATTTTGCTTTTTTGTTTGTTTGGTTTTGGTTTTTTGTTTGTAAAAGCAAGATATGTAGTTGATGTTTTATCTGTAGGAGCCTAAAGTCCACATATATAAACAGCTCTCTGTCCTCTTGACTGTGAAAGTGGTTCTTGTAGAAGACAGAGAGTAGGTGTGCCGGTGTACACTCCCTCCAGGTACCTGGAGCCGCTCTCTGGCCACACAGTATCCATCCTTGTCCCCCACCAATTTACATTCTAATTAGATTATCCTTCTTCCTTGACATTCATACCTTCTTCCTTACGCAGTTTTGCTCTTTTTTTTAATTTCCTTCTTTTTCTCTCTTGCTAACTGAAAAAAATATTTAAAATCGGAATGTGCAAAACGTTTGCCTTTTTGAAGGCAATGACTATTTAGCTAGAAGACACATTAACAAGGAATCAAGAAAGTGTGTTAATATTATATTTGTCTTTTGACTGGAAGGTTAAGAAATTTAAAACTCCCCCAAACCTCCATGGGTGCTCTGTGATGATGCCCCTGGTCTATTCTGTCTGTCACAGGCTCTAGACGATGCCCCTGGTCTATTCTGTCACAGGCTCTAACGAGAAGGCTCTGACTCCACTTTCCAAACATCCGAATCTGGCTGTGCACCGAATGAGCCCAGCTTTCTTTATCTCTTCCCAGATCCAGTCTCTGTCTGGACGCCCGCGATCCTGTGATGTTGGGGGAGGCAAGTAAGTAATGTCCCTTCTGCTGACGGTTTCTGAGAGTCTTCTCTGCTGGGCCACAGAACTGAGAGATAATTTAGAAAACTAGCACAAAGAACTGTAAATATGACATAGTATCTCACAGTTTGTTTTTGTTTTTTAAGACAATTTCTCTGTGGGACAATCCTAACTGTCCTGGAACTCACTCTGTAGACCAGGCTGGCCTCAAACTCACAGAGATCCACCTGCCTCTGCCTCCTGAGTGCTGAGGTTATATACAGCGATTTAGAATTTGCAGCATTTGTAATCTATTCTGATCTGGAGAACACCTGGTAAGGTGGGCATAAGCGACATCCTCTGTCTCATTTAACGAGTAAGGAATTGCATTCCAGAGAGAGTGAGCAGATGGCTGCGTTCTCGGGAGAGGCAGGGCCTCCAGGGACTGCAGTCTGATGGGAAGGGCATCGTCTGTGCCCCATCTTCCAACAGCTGAACGGGTGGTAGGAAGTAATCTTCCTTTCTCTCTTTTCAGTGCTTTTCCACATAACGGCCAAAACATAGGCCTCTCTCCATTCCTGGGGACCCTGAACACCGGAGGGTCATTGCCCGACCTAACCAACCTCCACTACTCAGCACCCCTGCCAGCCTCCCTGGACACCAGCGACCACCTCTTTGGTAGCATGAGTGTGGGGAACAGTGTGGGCAACCTTCCAGCTGCTATGACTCACCTGGGCATAAGGAACTCCTCCAGTAAGTACTCCCACGTGGAAAGGGAGTGGCTGTGTCCCCTGCTGTATCTGTCTGGTGCATCACTGAGTGAGAATGATCACATCTCAGAGACATAGGCCTCCTTCGCGCTGGTCAGCGTCTGCTCGGGGTCCCCGCTCTGCGTGGTTGACAACTTGGAGCAGTCCTGCTGTGTGCGCCTCACTCTCCGCTGTCTTCCCGAGCCCACATGTGCAGAGAACTTGGGGAGGGGTGTTTGGGAGTAGAGAGATAGGTGCCGCTTGGTGCCAACTGAGCGTTGTTAGCAGTTCTTAGCAGCCTATGGTGATCTTCTCTCATTTAATCCGTTTCCTTGCTCTCTCCTGTTCCCCACTGGATCTCTGAAGGACAATATTTTAAATTTTAGAAAATTTACAATGGGCATGATGAAAATACTTGTACTTATGTAGATTAAGTAGACATCTACAGTTCGAAACTATCCAAGTGTTCAGAAGAGCCTGTAGGGGTGGCACTGGCTGTAATTGTGCTCCTAGCCGTGTGACGTGCTGTCGCTGTCCAGACTTGATTGGCCACAGCCCAGACCCTGTGTGGACTTCACGCTGAACCAGCACTGCTCCTGTCACTTCAGAGCAGGCAGTTCTTCCTCCTCTGCCAGTGGTGTGGTACGGCCCCAGCTCAAGTGCCTGCTGCAGAATGTTCTCTTTGGAAGGTTCCTCCTCGGTGACGGTCTGTAGGTGGAGGAAGTGGTTTCTGGTTCCCACTCTGGGTTCAGAGCCTGCCCCCCTGGGAGTGGCCCCGTAGGGTTCCTGCCAGGTCCAGTGGTGCTGTGGGACCGCTGCTAAGCAGCGTGGGTTCAGTTTTGCCCAGCTGGTTGCAGAGACCACCTTAATTTTTGTTTTAGGAGGTACTCTTATTTTTGTTTTTGGGAGGGGGTGCCATTTAATAATATTTATTTTTTAAGGCTGAGTTTTGAGGGGGTTTTGTTGCTTGTTGTTGTTGTTGTTGTTGTATTGGTTTTTCAAGACAGGGTTTCTCTGTAGCTTTGGAGCCTGTCCTGGTACTAGCTCTTGTAGACCAGGCTGGCCTCGAACTCACAGAGATCCACCTGCCTCTGCCTCCTGAGTGTTGAGATTAAAGGCGTGTGCCACCACCGCCCGGTGAGTTTTGAGTTTTTAGAAATCAAATTGTGTATAGACAAACTCACCATCAAGAATGAGTTGTGAAGTCATGTGACAGTGTCTGGCGTGCAGGGTGTTTCTGGGTGTTGTGAGACCCCGGGATACTCTTTATGAAGACACTAGTCTCTTAGCTCTGAGTTTCTTTGATTTATTTCACAATAGAAACTCTCAAACCCTTTGAGAGTCCTAGACTCAGCCTGGGCAGGTCCCCTTTTAGACGAATTCTCAGTGAGCAGTGATGCCCAGGGTACTTGAAACAAAACAGCATCCCCTCAGCTCCCTGGGGTCTGGAGGAAGCTGCCGCCTGCAGGCTTTATCCTTTGATTCCAGCTGAGAACCCCGTGTTCACTCATTGACTAGCACCTTCTTCAAAACGCAGCATTTTATGCTGAACACCATAGATCAAGTGCCTAGCTTTATAATGTCATACACACCTTAAAGTGCATGGTACAGAGGCTACAGAGATGCCTCACTGGCTCAGAGCACAGGCTACTCTAATCGGACCAAGGCTTAGTTCCCAGCTCCCACATGATGACTCATAATCACCTGTAACTCCAGTTCCAGGGGATCTGATGTCTCCCTCTTCTGGCTTCCACCAGCACGAGGCCTGTGCATGGTGCCCATATATGCGTGTGGACAAGCATTCATACATATAAAATAAAAATATTGACGTATATATCATATAACATGTAAAAGTTAAGGCAGGTGCATCACAAGTTCCAGGCCAGCCTGATCCTACTTTTCTTTAAAAAAAAAAAAAATGCCTGGCACACATGTTTTTGAAAGATATTTAAGTCTTCTTTCTGAAGGAGGCCTCTTTTTAAATCTAAATTCAGACCGTTAGCTCTACTTACTATTTGAGCTAACTGGGTCTCGTGTTTTCATTGACTGAGTGGTGATAACTCTCAGGATTCTACCGGGAACATCATTTCTAACTTAAGATATTTTTATGGCCTAGTGAGATGGCTCAGTGGATGAAGGCCCTTGTGGCCAAGCCTGACCACCCGAGTTCAGTCCCAGAACCCACATAGAGATGGAGGGAAGTGACTCCACAGATGTGCCAGGGCTCGTGTGCCTTCTTCCTCCATCATATGTGCACCATACATACTAAGTGAATAAGCATTTTAAAAATTAATAATTTTGTATTAGGTATATTGTTCCATACCTGCAAGCAGTTGTGAAGTAGAAACAGGAAAATCAGGAGTTCAAGGTCATCCTCTGCTACAAGTCAAGTTCTACTCAGGCCTGGTCTGTGCGATAGGTGTCCTGTCTTCATTAAAAAAAAATAAATAAATCATAATAATTTTGCCAGGTAAAATAGTTGATCTTATAATATCTGTAATTTTTATCAAACAACTTTTTTCTTTTTATTATATATTTCCTTGGTGCGCTTGTGAGCACAGGCAAGCACAGTAAGCATGTAGAAATCAAGGAACCAGCAGGTTTGGCACCAAGTGTCTTTACCTATTGAGCCATTTGGCTGGCCCCGTTTTTGTTTTTTGTTTTGAGAGATTCTCATGTGACCCTGGCTGACCTCCAGCTAGCAGGTCCTCCTGCCTTAGTCCCCAGAGGACTGGGATTTCAGGGCACTGTTCCTACTTGTTTCTGCTTCTATTGTGTTTGGTTTTGCTCATGGTACTAGAGAGTTCACCCAGGACCTCAAGAATTCCAGGCAAGTGTTCTGCCAATGAGCCCTCCTGACCCCCACAAACAAAATTTTTTTTATCAATACAAACACACATTTCTGCTTCCCAACCGTGGCTCTGGCCTGTTGAAATACATGCAGCAGCAGCAGCTTCCTTGTTCATAGGATGGAGCTGTTCCGTCTGGGCTTGAGCTGAGTGCCAGGGTCCAACAGGGCATAGGACGGGGTCCCAGCTTCTAGGAACTCCTCTCTTAGTTCTTCTCTCTACCATGGAGACCCCATTCCCAAACAGTCTTGCTCATGCTAAGATCTCCCTCGCCCCCACCCCCGCGCTTCACCTCAGAGAAATGGAATATCAGAAACTATGCTTTCCCTTGAGTTTGCAAACACTGTTGATAGCTTATGAAGAGGCCAGAACTGAAGAGTCAGGAGTTGTAAGGCTGAGAGATCTGGGGTGTGGAGCCTGCTCTGCAGGGGCCACAGAGGTCCAGGCTGTGCCATGGGGCAGATGCTCTGGGGGCTGTGAACGGAGGCTCCTCAGTACTGCACACCTGCTCCGGCTTCCCCAGGGGCTGTTTTCTCAGTCTTGTTCTTCTTCGGAAGCAGTAATTCTGTTCTCACTCAAGCCGGAGGCTTGGCAGCCTCTCTCTACACATGGTGTTTCCTTGCCTTGTCATTGGTACACCCGAGACGTTTCCAGCAGGAGAGCTGCTCAGGAACTTCCGCACACACATAGCTAATAAGAAGTTTACTTTACTCTTAGATCTGAAAACAAAAGTTTTGTCTGAAGTCATAACAAGAAACTTGCAAATTTGTTGTCTTGCAGGTCTGCAGAGCTCTCGAAGCAACCCTTCCATCCAGGCCACACTCAGTAAGATGACGCTGTCCTCGTCCCTCAATAGCCACCCACAGACATCTGCAGCCAGTGCCTCCGCTCTTCACCCCTCGCTCCGACTCTTCTCCCTCAGCAACCCCTCGCTTTCCACCACAAGCCTGAGTGGCCCCTCTCGGCGAAGGCAGCCGCCAGTCAGTCCTCTCACGCTCTCTCCTGGCCCGGACGCACATCAGGGTTTCGGCAGACAGCTTTCTTCCACCAGCCCACTGAACCCCTATCCTGCCTCCCAGGTGAAGAAGACTTTTGAACCCCCTACATTCAACAGGCTGAGCTGTAGATAGTTTCTCATTCTCTGGGCCATTGTTATTCCACTGCACAACCCTGCGATTGCACATGCACTCACCCCTGTCTGATTCCTGAAGTAAGAGAGCAGAGGTGTGTGCATGAGTCAGCACGCATCCATGATTTTCTGATCGCCAACTTGGGATGTTTATTGCCCTTAAGCAAATATCAAACAATTTGTAGTCATTAACTCATGAAGTCGAGGCTAGGGGAAGGGGTGAGGTGTGGAAAGTGAAAGGCAACCCAGGGAAACCAGGTTAGAATCGCAAACTGTACACAGAAAATCAGCCAGTGCTCCAATAACTACAGTAAGTCACAAGAAAAGCCCGAAAAAGCACTTGGTGTCCTGACACTTCAGTAGCGGATTAACCCTCTTCCCTCATGCTGCTGCCCACCCAAGAAACAACACTCTCGTTAAATACCATCTGTGACAAGGGTGAGGGCACTCGAGAAAGAGGCGCCTTTGGGAGCCACAGCCATTAGAGTAGAGGAATGCCACAGTGGACTTTCGGACTTTGTTTTTATTCTAAGTTCCTAGGGCGTTACTCCTTACCATAATCACTGGTAAATATGTTTTTGACCCATTTGCCACACCCTAGATCCATTATAGCCTCATTGACTGCTCCCTGCTGCATGTAACTGAGTAATGGTGAGCAAAGAGCCGTCCCGTCGGTAGACATGGGAGAAGCTGCGTGATCAGGTCTTAGTCACTCTGCCAGTTACTGGTGATGGATGCTGACATCGTGAGCCATTTCTTCTGGGGAAGATGAGACGGCGTTGGGGAATTTTTTTTTTTAAATATAATCTTTTCTAATCTTTTCTCATTCCACACATCCATTTCTTCCCCCAACAACCCACCCCACCCTTCCCCCCACCACATCCCCTAGGGAAATTTTTTAAAAATCTAATTTTTAAAAATGTTATTGGATTGCCAGGCGGCGGTGGTGGCGCACACCTTTAATCCCAGCACTCGGGAGGCAGAGGCAGGTGGATCTCTGTGAGTTCAAGACCAGCCTGGTCTACAAAATGAGTTCCAGGACAGGCAGAGCTACACAGAGAAACCCTGTCTTGAACTGCCTCCACCAAAAAAAGTTATTGAATTCCTTTTAGTTTTGCTTTGTGAGATTATTTTACACGCTATAAAAGTGTTCTTGCTTTCTTGCTACACTTTAAGGGTGGAGAACATTGACTCTAATATTTTTATTATTATTTGTTTAATGTTGAGGTTTAAGAAGTCTCACTCATGCGTGTAGTTTCAAAGGGCAAATAGCTCTGAAGGGCCTGTCTCCCCTACCCATTAACCACAGTTTTCACTGCCTGGGCTTGGCCGTTTCCAACCATTTTTGCTAATCTCTTTGGTATAAACATGTTATTTTGTGCTTATTTTCTACTAGATGTTGGCTGTTAAGCATTATCTAATGGCATCCTGCCATCCAGGATGGGGATGCAGCTTTCCTTCTGCCCTCCCACAGCCCCTCTCTCACACACCTTTCTCGGTCTGCTCATTCAGTATAATCTTAGAGCAGCACGCGGTGTTTGCGTTTCTGTAGCTACCCCACAGCACGCGGTGAAATAGCAGAGTGCATGTGCTTTGTTCCCAGATGTTGATGTCCTGCTCTCTGTCTTTCTTGGTCCGGCTTTCCAGCTGTGTGTCGCTAATTCAGGCCCAAATTCTGGTATTGGAATAATCTTAACACATTTCAAATCAGATCCTCCGCAAGCCTGAGAGCCGGTGAGGGTTGGGGAGGGGGCACAGGGCCTTAGCGTGACTATAAAATACCTTTGTTCTGCCTTCCATTTCGTTAGTGGTTGGCTAGATTAAGATATTTCTGTCTGGTCCTTTAGAGAGGTATTGCTTGGCCTAATCCGGTCATACGGCTAAGACTTGGAATGAGACCTCCTTCCCTCCTCTGGAGGCATCTAGGATAGTCCTGCTTTTCTCCGGAATTGTGAAACTGTAAATTAATGGGGCTTGGAATGCGTCTGGATGGTTGCTGAGTTGCTTGTGTCTGGAAACTTATGTCTGTTGTTTCTAGAAATTTTAATTATTTCTTCAGTGATATTTCCCTTGATTTTTCTCCATTCCCTCTGGAATTTTTGTTGTACAAATGTTGGACATCATTAAATTTTCCTCTAATGTCTATATTTTTTCTCTTACCTCTCATTTATTTGTTTTTTCTTCTTATATTTGTTTATTCTTGGTTTTTTGAGATAGGGTTTCTCTGTATAGCCCTGGCTGTCCTGAAACTCACTCTGGAGACCAGTCTGGCCTCAGAGATCCGCCTGCCTCTGCCTCCCACGTGCTGGGCTTAAAGGTGTGCGCCACCACACCAGCCCAAGGTTAACCATTTTAAAATGGCCTTAATGTTACAATAGTAAATGTGTATCCTCACTTCTTCCTTCCCATGTTTCCAGTCTGTGTATGTTTGGGATCTGAAGGTGATGCTGGGCTCTCTGCTCCCCTTGAGATGAGATAGTCTGACAGTCCCCAGTTCTGATGTGATGCTGGGTGTCTGCTCCCCTGGGGATGAGACAGTCTGACAGTCCCCGGTTCTGATGTGATGCTGGGTGTCTGCTCCCCTGGGGATGAGACAGTCTGA